GTTCGTGTTGCACAACTCTCTGAAGTGCAACGGATTTTTTTTTTCTTCGTACTAGTAACGGTCGATCTTGCAGGCCGTCCTGATCTCAAGTCTGTTCTAAGGATGTACATTGCGATCACGGTTCGATTTCGTCTGCACACACTTTGAACCTGATTTGGGCGGCCCAGACGATGCTGATCAGAGAAGGTGAGGTAACATGCATTAGCATTCGAAGCGCATAAGTGGTATATCCTATGTTCAACACCCAAACACCGTACCCTAGCCCAATGCTGCCTGCTAGCCTGCAGGGCTTTGCCCGTGACAATCCCAAACGCCTTGCTATGCTACTCCTGTTGTCCACGTCCCCTTGGAAACGATTTAGTCCCGTTTGTGATGAGATGTCCGTAGAAGCCCTGATACAGAAGTGACATCAGCGCATGAATCTCTGCCGAGGGTTTGTGTTGATGTGGTGGCCGTCGAGACTACTTCCCGCCGAGCTCACCCTCAAGATGCTGCACACACGTTAGCTCGGGTACACAGCACAGTGAACGCAGCCAACACTTACCGACCACTCGGGGATGTTCCTAATCTGCTGCCACATGAACCTCTCCAACCGCCCGGCCGCCTTCGCGTACGGAGTGCTCTCATTGTTGTACTTGCGACAATTGTCGAATATGAGCTTGGCGTCGCGGATGAAGTCTTCGGGCGTAGGATACAGATCCTTCTCGTGCTTCTCCTCCATTGTCGCGAGGTCCATCGGCTCCTTGATGACGTCGTAGTAGTCGAGGACCTCGTCTTTGTTGACAGGCTGCTGGAAGGGCCAGGCGTTGGAGTTGTTCTGCATATCGTTGAGCAAGTGGAGGAGCTGGTTGTAGTTTGGTCCGTGGCGGGGCGCGCGCGCAAGTTCGTCCATGACTGGCGACCAGCCTGAAGACTTGATAGCGGGGATAGTGAGCGGGTCGATTGGCCTGACATCTCCCTTTGCCCACTGGGCAGGCGGAGCGTGGATCTGGAACGACTTCGAGACGGCGCGGATTTTGGCGTTGACACACTCCTTTTGCTTGAGCAGCATGCGCCCGCTCTCGAGGTAGCGGATCTTGGGCACCATGCTACATTGCATGATCGTACCACCCTCGTAGTCCTTGATGTAGCCCATCCACCGCCGTTTCTCGAGCGTGATCTCTTTGGTGAAGCCCTGCTTCTTGAAGTACCCGATGGCGTAGTTGTCGGCGTATGTCAGGAAGTGCATGACCTGCGAGGTGGCCTTGACGTAGTCCTTGAGATGCGACATAAGGTGCGCGCCATAGCCCTTGACCTGCTGGTCCGAGGAAATGGCGCAGAAGACGATTTCGGCGAACTGGCCCTTGTCGAACGGGCGGTAGGTGATGCCGCCAACGACTTCGAGGGGCTTCTTGACGATGGCGATACTCAGGTGCGTGCGGTCGTAGACGAGACGGGCGATGTAGTCCTTGGGCATCTTGGGCAGCTGTTTCTGGAAGATGCACTTGAGCCCAGTGAGGATGATGGTGCTCTCGCGCTGGCCATCGTTGTTGACGACACGGAATTCGATCTCTCCGTTGCGCTCTTCGATGACCGCAGGCTTCTCGGGGAAGGGCACTATGCGCTTGACGGGGGGTGGGGGGGGTGCGGGGGGATCGGAGGCGTCGGAGGCGGGAGACTGCTTTGCGCGCTTGGGGGAGCCAGCGTTGGCTTCGATGGTCGCCTTGCGCTTGGCTGGAGGCGGGAGGTCAGCATGCGGTGCGACGGGAGCTTGCGCGTGTTGGGCGTGTTGGGCGTGTTGGGAGTGTTGGGCGTGTTGGGTGTGAGCCTTCAGGTCGCGCAGAGGTATGTCGGGCGAAGAGGGCAGCTCGGGCAGCGTCTTGCGCGCGGGGGTGGTAGGCCGGATGGGTGGTGACGAGCTGTAGCCCACCACCTCGCGCAGCCGTGCGAGTCGCTCGCTGTTGGCCATGGTTGTGTTGTTGTGCGGGTGAAGGCAACGAGAGCGCGCGACTTACCGTCTTCCGTGACCGCCATGTTGCGCGGTTGCCGTATGCAAGCGTTCGCTGTTTGTCGCGACTGCCGTGTCGGTGGTGAACGTGAGCGTGCATGTTGGGGAAGTCGGGACGCGGAGGTGTCTGCACAGGCCAATCAGCGCCGATCAGCCTGCGCGGCCATGGAGAGGACACCTGCGCAGCTTCACCATAGCTCCAAGCACCCATCCGTCCACTGCACCATGTCGAGCCCTCTTGCAGATGTCTGGGAGGCTGCCGCGGCGTCGCCCTTCCAGCCCGCGATCGGAAAGAACGGCCAGTTCACCATTGGCTTTGCACTGCTGTTCGCTTGTAGGTTCTCGCGTAGTTGAGCTGCTGTGCGTAGCCGTGCTGATAGTACTCCAGCGCTGCTCTTGACCGGCTTCTTCGGCCTCAGTATGCCCACCGCCTCACCCCGCCTCACCCCCCGACCCGCCCCAGCCACCGCTCACCCGCTCACACGCTCACACGCTCACCCGCTCACAGACCGCTCGCTCGCCAACCTGCCCCTCGTCGGCGCACCCGCTTCGATAGCATTTGGGTATGCGCTCCGCACGCCAACATGAATCGCCGTGCTAACAGCTGCAGGTTCGGCGCAGTGTACATGATCTGCGCAGTCGGCGTCTACGTCTAGTCTCCTGATATCCAAAACCGGCGCTGTAGTCTATGGGAATGCAATAACACTTGACGTCCAATCCTCACCCGTCTACCACCCTCCCCCCCCCTCCCCCCCTAACACCCACCATGCCAGACGAGCCGCCCGTGCTCACAGCCGTCTCCAGCTCCGCCCGCCAGCTGTTCACACTGCTGCGCTGCATCGCGTTTGCGTCCAAGGCACACGTACAGCTGAGCCATGAGGGGCTGAAGTTCTCGGTCGACGAGGCGAGCGTCATGGAGGGTGCGTCTGCCTCTGCCTGCGACGCGTTCGCACTGACACGTGCGCGCAGCCTCTGCCTTCCTCGACAAGTCGCTCTTCACCACATACAGCTTCCATGCGCCGCCCGTTCCACCCCCGTCCGCAGACTCCGACGACGAAGAAGCGACCCCCCCCCTGACCTTCCACATCTCCCTTGCCGCGCTACTCGAAACCCTCCAGATCTTCGGCCTCACCGACCCCGATGCCTCCAGGCCGCCATGGGCGCGCGACAACCCCTACCCAACGAGCACCGCCTTCTCGAACAACGTCCTTGGCATGAACAACCTGTGTCGAATCACGTACGATGCGCCTGGTGCTCCGCTCTCGGTCATCCTCACCGAGGCCAGCATACGCACATCATGCGACCTCACGACCTACCAGCCCGAGTACACCGATGAGATACCTTTCGACCGCCAGAGCCTGGCCTTCAAGACCATCATGCGCGGTAGCTGGCTGCACGACGCTATCCTGGAGCTCTCGTCCACCTCTCCAGAGAAGCTGACCATGTACGCCAGGATGGTACGCGGGAAGCCACTCTTCGCCTTGTCTTCGACCGGTACTCTTGGCTCAGCGAGAGTCGAGTTCAACAACCAGCCGCCCAAATCCACGCTCCGCCCAACTGCAGCCAAGCCCGATGAGGCCAACACACCGCCAGTGAACCTCCTCGAGACCTTCCAGCTCTCAGATCCAGATACCGTTCTCCGGGCGAGCTACAAGTATAGCTTAATCCAGAAAGCTGCCCGCGCAATGAGCGTAGCTACCAAAGTCAGTGTGAGAGTCGATATGCAGGGTGTGCTGAGTATGCAGTTCATGATCGAGGTCGAGGCTGCGGCTGGCGGTGGCTCGAGCCAAGTGAGCTTCGTCGACTTCCGGTTCGTGCCGCTTGTGGACGATGAGGATGAGGGTGGCGACGAAGGGGAAACGTTGATGCAGAACGGAGAGGGTGATGACAGTCACGATGCATTTTGATCGGCTATGATGAGGAGCTCAGGATGCCGGGGAAAACTATACGTAGGAGTCGACCATGCAAGTCTCTGCGATTTCACTTCTCCCGGTTGACGGAAACTGATGTATGCCTTCTGCTTGATCCTGTGGCTGCATGTTGAGAAGGAGCCGCAACAAACAACGGCAACAAGGCAAGTGGGTCCTCGCGCCCGATGACGTTCGCCACGCAAACCGGCTTGCCAACACCATCACTGCTACCACTTTACAGCAGCAAGGTACTTCGCATTTCGCGGACATTCCCTTCCAGCAATCTAACAACTATGCCAGACTCGTTGCACATCGCGCTCAAGAACGACTCCGACTCGGAGAACATTCACGCCTACGTTGTGAGTTCAGCGTGAACGTCTGCACCTGCAAAACAGTCCTCCTGACGGCCCCAATAGACAGGCATCGCCATCCAGCACGATGGCAAACGATGTCTCCTCCGAGCGAATGGCAGGGATCTGTACTTCCCTGCCGAAGTAAAAGACATTGGCTCCTCACTCCAAGAAGACTGCGCTATTCCACTCGGTGCACCAGGCAACACAACGAATATCACCATTCCACAAATAGCCGGCGGCCGTATCTGGATCGTAGATGGAAAGCTCACCTTCCTCCTTAACCCTGGAGGACCAGCGTTGGTAGAACCCTCGGTGCTGAATCCCAGCGATCCCAATCACGGCGTGAATTTCGGCTTCGCAGAGTTCACATTGAACGACGCACAACTCTACGCCAACATATCGTACGTAGACTTCGTGCCCAAAATCCCCATCGCCATCAGCCTGCAGCAGCAGAGCGGCGAGGAGCAACGCGTGGCCGGCATGCGCCCAGATGGTTTAGACCGCATGGCCGACTCCCTACGCGAACAAGCCCAAAAGGACGGCCGCCCATGGGACAAGCTCGTCGTCAACGAAAACGGCCAGAACCTCAGGATCTTGAACGCAACTCACGGCGGCGCAGTCGGCGCCGACTTCTCCGGCTACTTCGAGCCCCTCGTCGACGAAGTATGGTCCAAATACGCCTCCTGCAAATGCAGAGTCAACACGCAAGCCGGGCCCGGCGTGCTCGAAGGCCACATCACATCCTCCGGCAAACTCAAGATCGGGGACGAGGAATTCGACAGGCCCAACACCGCCGATATCCTGGGCTGCAACTCCGGCCCTTTCACGACCGGGCAGAGTCCAGCGCGCAACGCTATCATTCCAAGACTGGCTGCTGCGTTTGTGAGGAGCAGTATCACGGAGACGGAAGAACACCCGAGTCAGCCTGATACGTTTTATAGACGCGATCCGACGAATCATTACGCAAGGCTGGTGCACGAGCACAACGTGGACAGGAAGGGATATGCGTTTGCCTACGACGATGTGCAGCCCGACTCTGGCGAAGATCAGTCTGGCAAAGTGAACGCTGGGGATCCGAAACTCTTCATTGTGACTGTGGGAGGGAAAAGTGCTGCTGGCGGCGCACCAGCACCACCGCCCCAGCAGTCGCAGCTACCGGAGCAGCAGAGCGAGAACCAGCCAGCGCCAGCGCCAGCGCCATCTGCTGACGCCCCGGCAGCGGAGAAGAGGGGTTTTAGAGACCGATTGTTCGAACATGCCAAGGGCAAAGCGAAGGGGTTTTTGCATCGCTAGATAGATTCGGGGATCCAAAGGTCGCTGTGATGTGAAGCTTACTCTCCACAAAATCCTAATTCATCATGTTCGCCCTACTGCTTCCCATCAGACCACTTTCCCTTCACTACGAACGAGCAAGCAAGCAAATCAATAGACGCATGGCAAGAGCTCCTACGATTTTAGCTGTCCCCTCCCACGCCGAACATGGAGTTGAAATCTCTGCCCTTGCTCCCTTACCTTCACACCTCTTCCGCCCATCTCCCTTCCAAATTCATCAGTTCTTCGCCCCACTTAGCTCCCTTGGCTTCTGACGCTCTCCCTCCCTCGTTTGAGCAACCGAGCCTGAGCTCGAGCTTCGCCCGGCCAATCTCCTTGCGCAGGAATCTCTATTTCTTCGAAGTGTCTGTCCGGGGGGGGGGGGGTTGGAAGTGCGTTGGAGCCGGCGAGGAAGGAGAGGGAAAGACGGGAAGATGGGAGTAAGAGCAAGGTGTTGCAGTCAGTGATCAAAATAGCACTCAATGGTAAGATGTATAATGCATATTGACCTCACTGCGATACCTAAACACTTCCTGAATCGAAAGAGTGTTCAAAATGGAGGCCTAAGGGGAAGTGAGGCGAAAGACTTTTCCTCGGGTTGATTGCCTCAAGTGAGGCTTCACTGAAGCTACTTTGTGGCATGCGTTGCAAACCTCAGGCAGTGAGTCAGACTCTTGGGGGGTGCCCTGAACTCAGATTGAATGACTTCGCTTCTCCTATGTGGCAAACGCCACTCTTACTCACGCTGTGTTCGAAAGCTCGTATCCAAGCTGGTCGTCGGCAGGTGCGGCCCGGTGAGTTGGTCGCTGGGTACCTGCACAATGACGTTGCCGCAGATATGTTACGAATAAGATCTAAGGTGTTCTGCGTTGAGACCGGAGGAAAGTAAAGCGAAGAACCTTGTTGAGGCTCTTCTGCAACAGGTGTTGCAGGTCCCAATTTGCGACTCAGTCGTGTGTATCAATACAAAGTCAATCCCAGTCGCCCCGTCCTCACGTAGGTGGCAAACGCATGGCTCTTACTCGTTTGGCTTTGAAACCCTACTTCCAAGTTCGAAGATTCGAAGATTCGATAGTAGTCGGCAAGTGGGGCCTTGGGTAGGATTCAACGGGTACCTGCATATGACATTGCCGCTGTGGCAAAATGAATGAAGATGAAACATTAAATTAAGGGGTTCGTGGTGGCGATGAAGGCAACTTACCCGATGGTGTGTACCACGACACGTCTGACAAAGTAGGTTTCGAGGAGGCCTTACGCGGATCTTCCGTTGAGTGTTAGGTTCCCAATTGTCGAGTCGCACTCTACTGCCGAGCGGTTCATTCGTGATGTTTATTCGATCCTACGAACTGCTGCTGGATGCCAAACTTCAGAGGTGGATTTGTCGGGAGATGGAAAGTGGGGCCATGGTCAGGTGATCGTCAGAATTCTTCAACTACACCAAATAAACACCAAATGTGTGTTTTCAAAACGTTGTTCCCGAGATAACAAACATGCTGTGAGATGAGATGCAGACAGTGGTATTGGGAGTGTTGCTCGGAGGCAGGTAGCCCGATGGTATACTGTGCCGGCAGGAACTTCACATACCTGCAAGTAGGTTCAGATGAAAACCGTATCATGGCAGTAGACGTGGTGGCATAGATCCTGAGAGAGGGTTTACGGCTTGCAAAATCATTATCCGGGATCCGGTAGCCGCTGTTCGAGCCAGTTGAGAGTTCTGATCAATACTGATCAATAGTACACGGGGGGTGCTTCAAGCTCATTAGGGTCAATCATGTGCCGGTCCCACAGTTCGTCTACCATTGGATCCTGAGAATAATCTCCAGACCTGTTGTTAGTTGGCTGGTGTGCGCGATGCTCTTATATACATATTTCGGTGAGGTTCAAAGTCGTGTTGTTGTTCACCGCTAGACCCATCTCTTTGTTTGTTTTGACAGATGAGCGGTGGACGTAGCGCCCTGAGTGGATTCAAACGTCTCGGTAACCGTTCAGTTGCTGTTCACCGCTGGATCCCACTGTTTGTTTTGATAAACGAGCGGTGTTGACATGTTCGCGACTCATACACCGCGCCCTGGCCAGCACCAAGTGGGTTTCACACATGGTCGGAGAACCGTTGGCTTGGTCGAGGTCCACATTCGTGATGTATTTTTTGCCGCTGTGCGCTGGCAGAGGATTCGCCGTTCAGAATCGAAGCTGCTATTCGGCATGAGTGGCCCGGAGCGACGGCTTGCGGTTCCCGTGATTTCAAAGAGACTTCGACTTGTGTGTTGTGCAGATACACCGTCTGCTTTACCGCTGCGAAGCTTCGAAGCTTGTATCGAGTCCAACTGTATTGAGGTTATTCGCCGCTGTTACTCGCGGCTATGAGCCGCCATTGTGTTGCAGCAGTGAAAGTAAGGCACCCTGGTCGATGGAGTCTGATACGGACAGTCCTCGAGATCGCTGGTTGTGAATCGTTCTATGCGTCTTCCCCACTTGTGTTCCATGGACCATGGTGCTTGTCGCCTTCACAATCTCTCGTGCCTGATTATCTACCAGGAAGGGTGAAATTGTCAAACTCGGATAGATCGTGTGAATTGTTCCAAAATCTCGGGCCAGCTGCCCTGTGCGAGGCCTTCTAGGCACGGATCCTGCAAACGGATCCCGCCGTATTGTCAACGTTGCTGCATGATGGGCCAGGGGGTATTTCGTGAGTCGTGACTTTCACAAATCATTCCTCGGAGATGTGGATACGCAACGGCAATGAGTGGACAAGGCTCCGCCATACCTGTACCGCGGTGGAGTTGATCGCCAGTGCTGCCAACGCTGCAGATGGCTGATCAAGGCTGCAAACGACTGGACTATGACAGGGTGGCTATTTGCTGCTTTTTACATCCGACAGCCGACAGGCGTAGTGAAACCTTGACAAGCTTCAGTTCACGTAATGTTTGGTATGGGCAGGGGTAGTATGAGTAACGTGATATCGCACCGAGGCTGTTGCTGCCGACGTTGCCTCATAAACGTCGAAACTGTCTGAGCGCCGCAGCTCAACACAACAAACAGCGACCCTGATCCCCGGTGCATACTAATCAGCATAATCCAGTGGCAACAAAAGCGATATGAGGGATCCCGACGGTATGTTCGTGGATTGCTGGAGCCAACTTGATACCGGGGAGTCGGAGAGCGGCCGCTATGAGGTTCAACGCCAGTCGGTCCTATACTTTTCGAGTAACCACCGGTCTCAGGAGAACAGAAACGGTTTCTACACGGCTCGCGCAAGTATCGCTGTGATTTGTGGATGTGCATGCTGTACGAATTGTGGCTGTTGCACGGCTACGGATTCCCAAAGCTTGCAAGGACAGTTGGTATGAGCTCCGACAGGGCCCGTCTCCCCGAGTACGCATGGGGCGCACCGCGCAAAAGGATGAGCAGGTCATTTCTCCAGCATACGAATGCCATCGCTTGCACAGATTTTCCATCCAGGCACTCTGCACAGGGCTGCACAGGGCCAAGTGAGTCGCAGAATTTTCATGTTCATCATCTCTTGTCGTTTCCGATCCCTTCGCAGCTTCCAGAGGCAACTACTATGCACGGCCGTCCTTCCTCTATCTGTCTATCTCGCTTCACAAAGAGTTGCATAAGTTTAGCTCAAGCCAGGGCGGGGGCTGAGCGTCGTCCTTATTCTGACTGTTGGTGACTCAACATGGTTAGACGACTCATGCGATATCGCGTTTGTTCACTTGGGCATACTTTGTGCACTCGAGACGTCCCCCCGCGTCGACTAGCCTCGAGAATCGATTGGCCGGAATTATGTGATCCTCCTACCCTGGCCCCTGTCATCGATGCTGGCAGATGGCCTCTGCGAGACTCCGCCCGAGCAGTCGTGTATATATGAGAATCTGCACTCGCCCATAGTTTGCCTGCTATCACCTGTTTTCATACTAACCAACAGTCGTTGCCTAAGGCTTTCATCACTTGGGTTGCTTGCGTGGACATCTCCCAACTCTGTTGCCTATATTAGACTTTTTATAAATACTCGACGACCACCCATTCCGAGTACTTGGCATTGACCATCACGACTTATTCATCTACGACCATCAACGCACACACATCCATCATGTTCGGATCAAGATCGAGAAAAGAGAGCGTGTCTCAGGGCCGCTCAAGGAAAGAGAGTGTTTCGAAGCACAGGTCCAGCACCACAAAACACACAAAACAGCCTTCCTTCAGTCAGTCATCGAGGAAGGTAGAGAAACTGGTCCAGCAGGCTCGACCAGTTTCTCAGGCTCCTTCATCGAACGCCACATCGCCATCATTGGGAAGGTGAGCATACACCGCCATTTGACTTTCAAACCAATCTGACAAACCATTAGCACCATCATCACGGTATGCGTCGGAGCTGAGCAGCGTCTTTTCGCAGCTCACGAGGACGTCCTTTCTCACTCGCCTTACTTCCAGGCCGCATGCAGTGGCCAATTCTACCAGTCCGCCAATAAGCGCATCGATCTCCCCGATGAGGAGCCTGAGGTCTTCTCCTCTATCCTCGAGTATCTCTACAAGGGCGACTACTACCCGCGTCTCGAGTTCAGCAAGAAGCGCAACACATGGACTCTCGAGGACGGTGGTAAAGACAACGGTGCCAACGAAGCAGTGATCTACTCGCCGGCGGGACCCATCCTGAAGGACACAGTGATCTACTGCCAAGCTGAGAAGTACGGACTCCAGGAGCTGAAGAAGCTGGCTCTCCGCAAGCAGGGCCTGCAGTCTGGCATCCAGTGCTCGACAATTTTGACCTCTGCTCGTTATGCCTACGCCAATACACCTGACAACGACTCCAAGCTTCGTGCGCACTACCTCGCACTCATCATCCGTGCCCGCAACACTTTCAAGCGTAGCGGCACAATGCAGAACGAGATGGAAAACGGCGGTAAGCTGTTCTTCGACTTGTTCGTTGCCATGGTAAATCACATGGATGACCTTGGTCTGTCCGCGAAGTCGCCACGCTAGGCTGCCACTCCACCCCTATTCCTCGGAACATCTCGGGCCATGAGCTTCATCATAACTCGGGCCATCAACCTCATCACCTCTCATCTCCGGTTTGCTTCATCTTTTCGGCGTTGGACTTTCGACTCCTTCTCTTCCGGCTTCCCGTCGTTGCCGACATGACTCGTGTCGTGGCACGTACAACTCCCTTCTCACCATCGTTACGGCTCTGACTCATGGTCTCTCCCGGCTTGTGCCGTTCGTCCTTCTTGGCTCTTTCATCCCGCATCTCGTCTTTACCTACCTACTAATGATCCGTGTCACGACACGTATACCCACGGCGGACGCTTTGGTCACCGTCGCATTACCATTACCCTTCTTGTATACTACACTTACCCTTGTCGGCCTCACGGTTGCACTCGGTCCGGTTATGGTTCTGCTTTTTGTTTTCTGTCTTCCTGATTTTATGCATGGCGTTCAGGCTCGAAGATACCATTCTGGCACTCATTCGGCCTCCCTCTTGTACTATTAGACTTTTTCTCTTGTACTCTTTGCTTTTTGTCTTTCGCGCTATCATCATACCCTTGGTCACAGATTGCTATGGTCGACAGACCAACCTAGGTCGTTGGACCTACCCTGTTGCAGCTTTACTACTGCTATTGGCAGAATTGAAACACGCGCCCATGGCGCGGCAGCTTTCCAGCTGTCGTCTTCTCTTCATTGCGTTGTTTCAAGCATTGTTTCTTCTTGTATCAGACTGGACTTGTACTCCCTGCTGTCGGCTGGTCCAAATTGTAGCACCTGGGTTACCATGTTTGTCGATTGGGTCCATTGACCTCCCTTTGATGATAGTATTTATTACAGTGACGAATCAAAATTGGAGCTGAGCTGTTTACCTCAATCGTCTTCTCATGCCGTCATCCACAGTGACCTTGTTGGGCATTTTGCCTCGACTTTCAGATGACAACCATGACTCCATAGAATATTGCGCCACACTGCCTCGACATCCTCTGTATGTTGTCGTGCAGCCAAGAGGACACATCTGTTGTTGCACTCCCACAAAAGCACAGCCTCGTCTGAAGACAGTGAAGATGATTTGCCTGGCTGATCTTATTGGACGGAAAGCCGGCACGCCCTCACTCGCACCACAATCACAGAGTATATACAGAGGGAGGAAGAACGAAAAGCCGCTGGCAAGCTGCTACAGAACACCTGTCAAAGCTAACAATCTCATTCTTGTATTCATCTTCCTATCACCACCTTCCAAACTACGAACTTCGTATGCGCTTAATCTCCCCTTCAGATCAATTCTCTGCGCCTGAATTCAACATGAGAGAGCGCCCACCCCCACACTACATCCAGGCCATAAGCGCAAAACGAGCAGGGGGCAAAAATGTCCCTAAGAATAACTGGAAGTACCACACAAAGAAGGACAAGAAGATAGGCGGGAATATCGCTACGACGGCCTTCCATCTTGTTAGCAGAATCGTGGGCCAGGCTCTGCCGTAGCCCTCGCAGTAGCCCTTTGCAGTAGTCCTTTGGCCTCCCGGCCTGACGGACTGGATGATAGGCGATTCTGGAAAGGCAACACCGAATGGCGCAGCGTGCAGCTAGATTCTACCTGCGACCCAGCGACGCCTTAATCACTAGCTGCAAAGACGTGGGCAAGAATTGCAATCCTAGATCGATTCTGGACCAACGCTGTGTAAGCAGTACACCGACAGCATACCGCTATCTCAAGCCTTTCGCCGCCTCCAGCTTGTCCGTTCGGGCCTCAAACGGCACGGCATTCAATGAAGACCAAACACGGGACCCACAGCCCCCAAGGCTGAGTCCACAGCTGCAACAACACTATTGCAACCAGTAAGGGCTTGGTACACCACTGCAGGAGCTCGGGCTGGGGCCCTTTGGGATGCATAAAGCACAGCCCTCAGCAAGGAGCAGGGAGTAAGGCAATAGACCCGTAGAGGGGTGGTACAAAGACGGGCTGCAAGCCTCGTATCGCGTCGCGCTCAACAAGTCTGAGTAGTGGTACGCGATATTGGCGCGAAATCAGCTGAAGGGCTAGGACTTGGTACACCAATGCAGGAGCACGGAGTCGGTCCAATTTGGCCTCGTCCTGGTGAAAGGGTGGAGGCTTTGTGCAACTCTTGCCAGGGAAGACGGCAGTGTAGTAGGCTTGCAGCGCAAGGGAAGCCTGGAAGGGAAAATAGATAGCAAGCCCCGCGGCGCGACCAGGCCCGACGTATCTCGCCTAGTGTTACTCATCAGTCAACAAAGAACCTTGTAAGGGCACACAAACTTTCGTAAGGGGGAACTGGATATTGGCACGGTATCACATGATAGGGCGAAAGCGCGTCTGGGCTGTGGACGCGGCTGGAGTTCCCTAACCAATGCCGCCCACCCCACCAGCCGGCAGTGTAAGCGGTAACGCCAATTGGGCGCAACTCCGCGCCGGAGGTTACAGATAACGGCAGGCTACTGTGCAGGCTGCAGTGCACAAAGAAAAGCACGGCAAAGTCGCAGTACAATGCAGGGGGTTATTGAAATGCAAGTGGAAAGTTTGGGTCGCATATCTTTGCTCTTTTGAATATTTTTTTTTCGGCCGTGCTGGGCTTGTAGCGGAGTGCACAAGGTTCTCAGCGGATGCCTGCACTGAGGTAGCAATACATTGCGCATATTAGTTCGGCACTTGTCGGTGGGATTTCTGTGCCGTATATGACATCTGGACGTAATCGGTGGCATCTGCTCTAGGCTTCACACTCCGGTGCCGGGGAAGGCGCCCTTCTTGTTCAGCACTACCATGGCGTGCTCGCGTGAGATGTAGCCCTTCATCAAACCCTGTGGTAGCGTTAGCAACGAGTCTTGCACTGGGCAAGGGACACGTACTTTGTAGATCTGGTTCGCCAATAAGCACTCAACCTCATCGTCCTCCACCGCCTGGCCACCCATTCTCAGCGCTGCTGCAAAGTTGACGAGCGGTATCCTCGACTTTCTGATCCTATCCTTCTCTGTCTGCCCTTCCTTCAGATCGTCATAGCCACCAGCCAAGTAAACTTTCCGCAAGAGATTCCGAAGCGCAATGTCGCGACTTCGTTCGAGTGTGAGGAAGATGCGGCGCTTGACAAACTCGGGCTCGCCCTCTGCTAGTGCTTTGTCGAAGCCTGTAAGGTCGCCTTTCCTTATGCAGGTCACGAGTGGTCCGAAGATACGTTCGAGTCGGGGTGATTCCGCGAGGAGAGGAGCTTTGGGTACGACATGCTGTGTGATCAGACGACAAGGAATTAGGTAGGTGAGGATCAATCTGCTACAGTCAGTCGTTGGATTCTCAAAGGAAAGTGAGCACCTACGATTTGTTCTTCTCAGCGCTAGCATAGCAAGCATCCCAGGCTTCCTGTAAGTTCTTCTCCGCCTGTTGCACATCAGTGGCATGTTACGTACTCTCTTGTGCCTCCTGACCTTTGTGTAATCCTCTTGCAAGAAAGCAAGGACTCCAGTGTAGTAGCGGTATGTGACTCGGTGCGCTTTTGGGTATAGTTTGAAGGGTGGTAAATCAGACTGGGCTTCGATCGAGCGGACAACGTTCTTGGACAGGCTGATGGCCTTCAGCTAGTTATAAAGGTCAGTAGATGAGAATCACTTTTTGTGGCGGAGAAGATACCTTGAAGTAGGTCTTGAATTGAAGGTTGGCTACACAGTAGACGCCCCACTTGCGGGACTCGTTGAGATCTGGGTTTCTGATGTACCGTCAGAACCAGGAAACAAGCAACAGATAGGACCATGGCACACCTGTCACCCAAGCACAGAGCAAAGATCCTGTTGAACACGCGTGCAGCTTCCTCCAACTTCTGATTCTGTGCCACTGTGCTCACGATATCGTCTGAGAAGCTGGCGTTGACAGTGGCTGGCTTGGACTTGGCCAACTGATCGTCTGCCTTGATCGCTATCCTGCGCAAATGATTCGCAGTGAAGTATAGAGTGAATATAGCCCATGCTGGCAATGCTCCACCAGAGATGTGCTTGATGAAGTTGCTGGTCAGGTCTTTCCAGGCGTCGTACACGGCAACGTATTGGCGCTCTCCCAACCTGCCCTGGTTCGATGCCTCTTCTGCCTTAATTATCTCCTTCACTGCGCGCCAGTAGCTCACGATGATGTCGACCCATGCACCGCTCTCTTTCTGCGTCATGCACGTGGTCTTGTTGTGCTTGAGCACGTAGCGAACATCGCCTTCGATTTGAACGTCGTTCGATGCGCGAAAGAAGTCATACAGGCGGCCAGGCTCTTGTACAGGCGGGACAGGACTGAAGAAGTTCGCGACGGGCTGGGCTAGCGCAGTCGCATGAGCCTCTTGGAACGGTGCGAGTGCGGCTTGCATGGCTACTACTGTGCGCGGTGATGACGGCTGGTGGTGTCAAGAGCTTCTTGCCGTGGTCGCGAAGCGTTCGAGTGTATGCGCTACCTCATCGAATACTGTGTCGATGTGTGCATTGCTTTGTTCTTGCAATGATGGTCTACTTTGGAGGTCGGTGTTTGGATGCGGGCATGCCGACGCTGCATCACACTTTCCCGCCAAGCTCAAGGCGTTAGTGCTGGCCTAATCTGGGAAGGCGCGGCTCGCTTGACACCGCACAATCCGACGATTTGCTTTGGGCAAGAACACCACTTCGTCAACTCCACGGGTACTAACCGCAGCACATTCGAAGTAAGTTATTGCCCATATTGCTCGTGAGATTTCGTGTACTGACTTTGTCCAGATGGGTAAGCAAAAACTCTCCTTCCACACTCGCGACCGTCCAGCAATTGCAGCCGAAGGAAATTTCAGTCGAGCCTTGCGCAAACGAGCCATGCACAAACACAAGAGCCACAAGTCGATGTCAATGGTACCGGGGATCTTCGGAGCAACACGTGGGTGTGTGCGAAGCGAATTGGAAGTGGATGCAGTCCTGGGGATGGGACGGAGGGTGGAGGGTGATGAGCAGAGGGTTTCGACGACGCACGCTACACTCGCCCAACAGACCACACATGCTCGCTGACCACGCTCTACGGCCCCGAATCGCTCGCTCACTTCGACTGCAATTGCTGGTTCTGCTTGATTGCTACGATGGCGAACGCTTGAACGCAATACTGACTTGCACAGCTCGCTTCCAGGAATACCAGGTCATCGGCCGCCACCTCCCCAGCGAGGCCAACCCCACCCCCAAGATCTACCGCATGCGCATTTTTGCGCCCAACGACGTTGTCGCCAAGTCGCGGTTCTGGTACTTCCTCGGCAAGCTCCGCAAGATCAAGAAGGCGAACGGTGAGATCATCTCGCTGAACCAGGTGCGTAGCGAACGAATAAGGAAACATGGAGGATGGCAGCTGACAGCGTCAGATCACCGAGAAGCGCCCCCAGAAGGTCAAGAACTTCGGCATCTGGATCCGCTACGACTCGCGCTCTGGCACCCACAACATGTACAAGGAGTACCGTGAGATGTCCCGCGTTGCCGCCGTCGATGCGCTGTACCAGGATATGGCCGCCCGTCACCGATCCCGTTTCAGGTCGGTTCAGGTATGCAATAGTCACGATTCAACGATGATGCTGGTTTCTAATCATGATGTAGATCCTCAAGGTTGTTGAGCTCGAGAAGACCGACGACGTCCGCCGCCCATACATCAAGCAGCTCCTTGTCAAGGGCCTCAAGTTCCCTCTGCCCCACCGCATCAACAAGAAGGCTGGCAAGAAGGTCTTCGCTTCCAAGCGTCCTTCCACTTTCTTCTAAGCGTGTTTCTCTTTCCGGAGTGCGGTCTGGCTGGGCAGGGACAGTATGGGTTTCCCTCGGTTATGCATGCTTCGCAAAAGAAGCACACTAGGAACGAATGAAAATCCCTGATACCTCCATCCGATCTATCGAGTCGTGTGATGCCAGCCAGGGTGTTGGATTGCAGCTTTGGCGTCAGGGACATGGACTCAAGAATCACATGTAATCAGGGACAATGAAGTTATGCAATCACGTCATGAAGTCTTGCGTTCTCTACTTTCTGCTCACTCAGATCTTAGGCTTCCCTGACGGATCCACCTTTGCCCTGCCCAACGTGTCGATCGGCATCCACCACGGATACCCGGTGACTTTGGTATTATCCATTGTCCCTGAGAACTTGGCCGGCCGCTTCTCCAAGAACGACTTGACACCCTCTGAGTTGTCACTGCAAACGTCAGTAAAGTTTATCGACACACCAGCAGCGCACTTACGAGCTCCCAAACAGCTCATAAATCACCCTCGAATCCAACAAATGCTGTCCCTCCGGACTTCCCGTATCCCTATACATCAACTCCTTCATCAAATACGTACTCACCACACTCGTATTCCTGACCACATCCTCCGCGACCTGCAGCGCCCTGGGCAGCACATCCTCAGGTCTATCCAACAACTCACTGAACAAGCCATCAAACACCTTATCCTTGGCTAGATACACGCTGCCGGTGGTGATGGCCTGCATGGCGCGCGAGTGCCCGATCAAGCGCGGCAGGAAGAAGGACGAACAGGCTTCCATGATGAGGCCGCGGCGCGCGAAGACGAAGCCGATTTTGGCGTCGCGGTAGCAGAGCCGGATGTTCATGGGGAGCGTCATGGTGATGCCGATTCCCACGGCGGAGCCTTGCAGGGCGCCGATTGTGGGCTTGCGGCAGTGGAAGATGGAGAGGGTTACTCTGCCGCCTCTACAGCGCTGTCAACACAGAACCCAAAGTACTTCCTTGTCTGCCTTTGTTTTTCTCGCGCTTCTTGACGTGATGTGAATTGTAGGAAGGAGACTTACCCATCCCGATGATCCTGCACCCTCTCCGCCTCCTCTCCATGCACACCCCTTCCAAACCCGACCTCTAGATCCGCGCCCGCGCAGAATATCCGCCCGTCGCCCGTCACAACGATGCATTTCACTTTCGGATCGACGTCGAACATGGCATATGCTTTTTCAATCTCGGCGCGCATGGTGTCGGTGAAGGCATTGTGCTTGCCCGGGCGGTAGAGGGTCAGAATGATGATGCTGGGTTCGGCCTTGTGGTGGTGCGTGCGGATTGATGCCCATTGGGAGTTTAGATCATCGTAGCTGTTTGGGATGACAATGTCTGGCATGTGTCTGGGGGAGACTTGTCGTGGTGACATCTTGGTAAGTATAGTCAATTCTTGTGTGGTTAAGGGAGCGGCAATAATCGTGGGTCGACAGGTTGTGTTGCTACAGGTGTTTATTAAAGCTACATAGGCTACATGGATTGTTTGTGGTGTAGCATGGGGGTCACCAACGATGCGGAGAAGCAGAACCTCGGCCCTTGGGGTCGTTGTCGACGTCGAACGGAGCAGCCAATGGGAGATGTGCTGACACCGAGCGCACGACTTGTGTACACCGCAACGAATTCAAGAGCCGAACGTTGATCTGGACGCGCAAAGGACATGTGACTCGAGACTAGTAAACAGTAGGAAGATTAAGAACATGGGCAGTGTAGAGTGTGAAGGTCTACAGTCCCGTGGGTGGTGGTAGCGATAGTGTCGATGGAGGACCGTGCCAGCCCTGCCCAAAAAGTTCGAGCGATTGCAACCCACCAAGCTCACGCACTCTGGAGGCATTCACGACGTTTTGCTGCCACAAGCTGCGTGCGCCTCCCTGAAACTTCTGCCCTGCATACTGACCGCAGTTGCTACCGGCGATACCAATCCAGAAGTCAGCGTTTCTCCAAATTCGCTTGGTGACAGCCCATCCCGGAGGCCTTTACGCACTTATCATCTTCACCATGGCGCCGGAGAAGAGCGCAAAGCGCAAGGCGCCCTCAACAGTCGCTGGTTTCACAGTCCTTCCTCTCACACTACCCTCGCTGTCCGGCCTCCCAGCAGGCCACGGGGACACACAACACTACCTGTACATCAAAGCGCACGAACCCAGCGCATACACAGCGACCGCAGAGCGCAGTCTCTTCGTCGCAAACGTCCCCATCGACGCCTCGGAAACCAACATCCGCGCACTCTTCGCAGAACAATTGAGCGGCGCGCGAGTAGAGAGTGTGGACTTCGATGCGTCCGTGCCTGGGCGCCCACTGCACAAGCGCTGGAAACAAGACAAGCGTGCCGACGACAACGGAGACGGTGAGCAACGGGGCAAGAAGCGCAAGAGGAACGACTCCGAAGTCGTCGCTGAAGGCGTGGTAGAAGACGTAGACAGCGCGCTCCCAGCACTGTGGGCCAGCGAAGTGCGGCGGAGCGGGAGCGCGGCGGTGGTCGTGTTTGTGGACAAGCGGAGCGCAAGGGGCGCGTTGAAAGAGATTCAGTCCGCGGTCAAGTCTGGGCGCGCAATTGAGTGGAGGAGCGGGAGCGGGTTGGGCGTCGAGCGTGAGTCGCACTCCAATACAGTTCAAAAAGTACAGTGCACTAACACACCCAGGCTACAAATCCCACCTCCACCTTACCCACCCCTCCGCCTCAGCCCTCCAATCTAGCATAAATGCCTACCTCACCCAGTTCACCTCCCTCGAGACCACCCGCGCCAAACTGCTCAAACACGCCCGCACCGTGCCCGACGAAGACGGCTTCATTACCGTCGCACGGGGCGGGCGCGCTGGGCCCGCGCGGCTCGAGGAAGCGGAGAAGAAGAGGGCGGAGCTGGAGGAGAGGCGGAAGAACAACGGTGTCAAGGACGACTTTTATAGATTCCAGAACCGCGAGAAGAGGAAGGAGGCTGAGGTTAATTTGAGGAAGAGGTTCGAGGAGGATAGGCGGAGGGTGGAGAGGATGAGGGAGAGGAGGGGAAGGATTAGGCCGGAGTCGTAGAGAGGAGCAGTGCGGGTACGCTTCTCAGCATATCATCCCATGCTGAGAATCTTTGGATAATATCAACGGGATGTGACACGATCCTGTGTTCCTGTTCGTCAGCTTTCTGTCATGGGGCTTTTATGATCAAGCATCCGCTGAATAGCTCGCCGAATAGCTGGCGAATGAGAGAAGCAGTCATGTAAACAGACTGTGCCAATTTCACATACTTCACAATATCACCCACCCTCCCGAACTGAAACCGCGCCCCTACACACACCCATACTTCCCCCGCTCCCCAACAACCAGAACCCAAATTCAGAATCCGAACAGCCAGTATCCGTGCCATTCCTCCCATTGGGATAACCGCAAAATCCAAACCCCAGCGCACCGGCACTGTCAAGCAAGACGCTGGAGTCCACGGGAGCTTCCCAACAGTTGAGGACTGTCAAGATAGTAGTTTATAAGCCTGTCGAATGCGGAGCCGTGTGCGAGACGGAGAACGGAGGTCTTCAGGATACTCGAAGAGTTGTGGGATTGTGAAAGTGATGGTGTGCAAGCTTGGTACGGCAGGACGAAAGCCGGACGATGTCAAAGCACTGTGTCTGGCAAGTGTTGTAAGTGTGGGGACCACGATGACGGACAAGCTTGGTAGAGCGATATGTGGGCTGGAAGGCAAAGATGACCATGGCTGGCGAGGACGTAAAATTGCCAGTGAGCAGTTCTGGCAAATTGAGCGCCTCAGCCGGGAGACCCACAGAGGTACCCGTTGGGCTTCTGGCTACTCAGGTATGCCACTGAGGAGTCTTGCCTAAGGGAGTCGGACATAGAGGTTGGTCCTCGCTGTGTGAGTGGAAAGGCATGGCAATGAGGAAAGCATGAAGCAATTGCGAGGTTCAACGCCAATGATGAGAAAGCAAGAGTCAGATTCATCCATGTATCTGCGCTATCGAAAAATAAGAACAATCAAAGTCCCAGTGTATCTGAGTTAGTCGTGACTACGATTTCACAATTTACACCTTAGTCCCATACTCCTCCGCGAAAATCCCATCATGCACCACGCCCTCTATTCCCGATGGACACGGGTGCGAACGTCTTCCCGACTCAAGTTGATGTGCCCGCGTATTTGCAAGACTGTCACACAGAGGGTGTTCAGTCAGAGAGACGTTGGCAGCGTCTCCTGCAGGAAGGACGTCGATGGTCTGAGACAAGTCGCGCTGGGTGCTGGTGGTGCCACCAGTACTCGTGACGGGGTGCTCGGGCTTAGCTTGCTCGACGACATGGCGGTTGTGCTTCCTCAACTTTGGGCCTGTGAAGTGAAAATGCTGACTGTGCCTCTCCAGGTCGACACGACTGCTCTCTGAGCCGCGGTAGACTTTGCTGAGTACGGGATGCGCACCAGTAGGATGCGTGTGCTGATCACCCACGCGTGGGTGCTTGGATCGCACGTGTCGAGTAAGGTTGCCCCGCCTGTAGGCACCACCAAAGTCGGCGGTCCAGGTTTGGCAATCGGACATCGACGAAAGTCCGAATAGGCCTTTGAGGTACGGGCTGGTCGACCTGTCTGACGAGGTTCGATCATCGTTCGCAACGGTGGTTGTGCCGGTCCATGGACCAGAAGCACTGAAAGACCCAACTGAGGCGTTCGTGCTAGGTGCAGCACCAACAGCACTCTTGGTACTAGGTGCAGTACTGACAGATGAGTTCTTGCGTGCATACTCGGGTGCTAAAACGCCCTTGGAGCTCAGAGGTGCCTTGGCTTCTCCTGGCTGCATTGTCGTGTGCGCAACGTCCATGCTGTCGCCATTGTCATTGCCCTCTTTATGGATCCACTGGCAGTTGCGGAGGCGTGTAGGTTCGAGGGGTGTCTGCTTGTCACACGTGTTCTTGACAATGATCGATTGCGATCCGGACTTGCCGCGCTGAGGGCGATCGTGGCGAGACTTGCTATGCGCCTTCTCCCATACAAGGGACGATAGACCGCGCGGGAAGGTATCGGATGCCTTTAGTGATGCGCAATCCCAATACAACTGTTTCTCGCAAAGGTGCAAGAGGCGGCGGCTGAGTAGGCGGTCTTGGAGTGCCCAGGCGCGAGTATCCCAGCCGAAGCCGGGTGCGACAAAGTCGCGTGCAGGTAGGGTTGCGGACGCTGATGGTCGATCGACAGTCTTGTAGGCGTTCCCATTTGCGTTTGGCAGGGCGGTGCCAGGTGTCATCTCGATAATTGTAGGCTTCTCGGAACGGAGCTCGTCGATCTGGTCGAGTACGATTGTCAGTGCAGCATCGCGGAATACTGATGCCATCTTAGCACACTCGCTTCGCTTGTCATCCTCAGAGTCCTGAAGAATGCAGAGCGAGTCGATCCAGATGTACCGGTAGCCGAGGTTCTGTGCAGCTTGGATACCAGACTCGAGTGGCTTGGGTAACGTCTGGCGTTGCAGGCCTAGCTGTGCGTTCTGGCGTTGATCAGTTGTCAGCGTGACATTTGTCTTGTCCCACACGTAGCTGAGAGTGGCATATTCGACGGTTTCAGCGTCTTGGACAATTGAGGCGCTGTCGACAACGCGAACGATGCTGTCGTCGATGCCTTCAGGCTGTGTATCGACTAGGCGTGTTGGCAAGGTCTTGTCGGTGGTTGCAAGCTGGCGACAAACGTCGTGAGTGTGAGAGCACTCTTCAATCCAAGACTTGGCATTCTTGAAAACGTCTTGACTGTTATCAACAGTTACGTTGGCGGTCTTGTCAAGGTGGTCGCAGCAATCGATGCCCTCCTTGCGGACAAGCATTTCTACCGCTTCAAGCTCTTGATCTGGTGCTGGGAAGACAGCCTTGTCATTCGGCCACTCGAGGCAGCAAGGCGCTGGAGTGAAGCTTAAGGAGAGAAGTGCCGCGCTCGGCCGCTCGTTCGGATCTGCATTCAGCATGTCCTTGAGCGTACCAACCACCTGTCGCTCGGTGGGAATCGCGGTTTCCTCCAGGAAGCTTGAGAGCCAGCCTTGTAGGCTCGGGACATCTTGCCAGTAGTGCTTGCCTGTACGTCCACTGTACTCGCGGCGGAAGGTCAGCCACTTCGAGTTGGATTGGCCGAATGATGCAGATGCCATCTCAGCGAAGACGCATCCAAGAGACCAAATGTCGGCGGCTTGCTTGCGAGTGAATCCTTCGAAAACCTCAGGTGCGACGTAACGGCGTGTTAGTGGCTTGTGCTGACCATCAGATAGATCATCCGAGGAGCTGATGCCGAAATCGCAGAGTACTACATGCGGGAACTCTTGATCGCTCTGGGCAACAAGAATGTTCTGCGGTTTGATGTCCATGTGCTTGACGACCGGCCGCTGTTCGTGGAGGTACCTAATCGATGACACGAGACAGCCAAACATCTTACCGATAACGTTGACAAGGTTGGCCGGTTGTTGTAGGGTGGCTTGCTCGAGCCAGAGTGCGAGTGTTGTCTCGGCAACAGGAGATACGAGGATAGACATCTTGTCGCCCTTGGAGTATGCACCGAGGAGGCGGATTACGTGAGGATGGCGGAGCTTCTGCAGAACGCTCACTTCCTTCTTAAGCTCCACGATCGCAGATTTATCGCGGTTCTTGAGCGTCTTCCGACCTAGTCGTAAGTTCGTTGCGCGATGCAGTACTTCGTCGACAGTACTGAAACCACCAGCACCGAGTAGTCTGACGCTCAGGAACGATTGCGGTGGAAAGTGTTGTATCGTGTCGAGTACGGCCGATGAGATTGCCTTGGTGTGACTGTTTGGCGCGACTAGGACGGCAGAATTCAACAGATCCTCTGTACGATGTTGCTCTGACAATTGAGTTGGACTGTTCATGGTGTTCCGACCCGCCGGATCAGTGTGCAAGTCCAGCGGCGTAGGCTGTCTATTCGCAGCAGCTGTTATAAGGCCGACGCCATCTTTGCTTAGACAAACTCCGCGAGCCACGAGAGGTTGCGGGAGGATTTGAGCCCCCCCAACTAACCGGCCGGAGAGAGCATCTCCGGCCAAAGAAGTCTGGTCGTCTCGCGCAGTCGAAGCATGCTTTCCAGGCGTTGAGCATTGCTCGGTTGAGATGGGCTCAGGCGAGGAACTCTGCTCGTCGAGCTCTGGAGTAGACGATGGGCGTTGTTGAATGTGTTGTTGACCGCCCTGGAGTTGCTTCGTGATATCGACCTTTTCGGGTTTCGATGGCAGCTGGAGTTGGAAGCAGCTGTCAGGCAGCAGGCTGCTGCCGCTGCCACTGCCTCCGCCGCCGTAGTCACCGCCACCATAATACTTGAATCCGAAGTCGTCACGAGGATCGCTTTCTGGTGGCGGGTGTGAAGGCGCACCGTCATAGCCGTCGCCACTGGGCTTGTCATTGTCATCGTCGTCGTCGTTGTTATCGGTGTTGTCGCCATCGTCGTTGCTCTCATCGTTCCAGTCAAGCATACACTTGCCCTGCTTGAAGTGATCTAGTCGGAATTAGCTGTGTTCTGTATGTCTCCCGTGCCGAGATTTGCTGTGCTTTGTCTTGCCAAAACCATCCCTGGAGGTCTCACAAAGAAAATTATGCCCTCCTACATACCTGCTAGGTGGTCGATGCGGTCCTGCCTCGAGTCGAATTTGTGCTTGCAGAACCCGCAGTTCCTTGGGAACTCGGTCTCGGAGCACAAGATGCTCGACTGCTCGTACTCATCGCTGTTCACATCAGGATGGATGTTCCTGAAATGCTATATGGACATTAGCCAATAGGATTGTGCATAAATCGTCGTTTTCGCCTACCTGCACAAAGTGGTACTTTCTGAAGCAGGGGCGCACATTCTCAACGCCTTCGCTTGTGCACAGGCTGCAAACCCATGATTTGCATGGGTAACCCTCTTCCTCATTCCTCTTCCAGTCACACTTGCGACCATAACGTTTGCCGCATTTCCGTGTGCATTGGTAGATCTTGTTCGGATCTCTGGCCAGCAAGCCTTGGTCCTTAGTAGGCATACAACGCTTCTTCCCACCACGCAGAGTCGAAGCTGGCTGACCAACTATTGTTGTGTCGTTGCTGGACCATCTTTCTGGAGTCGCAGTGTTCTCCTGTGTAAGCTGCGGGGTGGGTAGTTGCTGGTGCATTGGCTGTTGTGGCACCAGATCTGTTGTATAAGGGTCAGACCAGCACAAAGTTGGCTGCGGCATCATGTCGGTTTGCGATTTGTACGCTGAGTCGTGACCCCCCATACCCTGCTTCAGTAACCGACCAAACCATTGCCGGATGGCATCTGATGACTCTCCAGTGAGCTGACTGAGCGACTCAATATGTTGGTCGCTTGGCAACACGGCGTACTTGTTGAACCATGTTGTGCAAAAATCAGCAGCCTCATCTGAAAGGCCTTGGATCACCTCCATCTGCGAGGAAGCCGATGAAAATGAAGACAATGTGTAGTCTCCCGTCGATTCGTGGCGCTTAGACTGGATGAAGTCTTCAACATCAGCTTGACGCGGCCTCTTGCCCAACGAAGTACCGAGGTTTGGCTGGTACGTTTCAAACGGTTGTGTGGGGGTTGCTGGGAAGGAGTTCAGGATAAGTGATTCCGGTGTGAGATGGCTATTCCACATCGCGTTGCTCATAGTGTTATCCATAGCCTGGAAGTAGTCAGCACATCCAGCTTACCCAGAATCGTGCTGTGGCACCTACAAGGTTCTTGGGCATGTAGCTCATATCCTGAGAGGGTGTCGATAAAACGGTCGGATTAATGAAAGATGCGGCCGTGTCGATGCCCTCATCACCAAAGAAGCCAAAGGTGTTATCCTCGTTGGGCTTCGCGAACGATTGCTGCTCCTGCGGCATCATCGCAAACACATTATTGAAGTCCATGCCCGCTGTTTCAAAAGCGAATCCAGCGCCCTCCATTGCTTGGGTATGTTCGTGTATAGGGAAGGGCGTTGTGGTAGAGTTGGTCAGCAAGGTCACGAAGGAGGTTTGTTTGGGGTATGATGGAAAGTGAGTCAGGCCTGAGGCCGGCTTGCTGGTATTAAACTCGAGGGCGCTACGAACCGGTCAAGGTGTACTGGTACGCGGAGTCATAGTAGCCCTTCTGCGTTAATTTGAAGGGCGGATGATAGTTGATCGTGCATCAGGGTTCAGCTGTTCAGGCCTCCCGTCAGACTTTTAGTGAGGGTTTGCAAGCCGAGCGTGTAAAAATACAGAGTCGCGAAAACAGCCTTAGGAACTTCAGAACGCTTCCAGAGCTTTAAGGACCTGGGACTCTGGAGGCGTTCACGACAGGTGCTCTCATCTTCGTGATAGCTTTCATTTTTTAAAGTGATACCCGCTTAACGGTTGACAGAGTGCGGATACAGACTTTCAGATCACGATGGAAATTAACGTTCTTAAAACAGCGTAAGCCCTAATCTGGTATACCGCCCTTTTTCTCTCCACAAAGGCGGCCGCAATCTTCACAAGCTGGAGAAGGTACAGCCACTCAGAGTGGGGTCGAAGTGGCTGTGTCTATAAGCGAAACGGGTGCACGCAGATCAAACGTCTATCTCCGAGTAACAGTCGAATTGTCGATTTCAACATGCGTACCCTGACGAGTAGACATAACCTTCCACAAGATGTTCATTGCGACTCCGCTTCTCCACACCTGACTTGCACCTCAAAAGGCAAGTACGGACATCAACTTGTCATTGCGCAGTGAGAGTAGTTCATGCACGTTTCCTCGTCAAACCCGCGCCGCCTGCGCCGTCATCCGACATCTTCAAGATGCATTCTCTAGATTCTTTACGCCTCGCCCTAGATGCACATACACATTTTAAAGAACGCGTTGCGTTGCAACAACCGAAGTCGCAGACCTTAGAGGCATCGCACATCTTTTTGAAGCAAACTACTTCACCTTATCATTTCGCGAATCCAACGGCACTCCAATTACGCTAAACATCAAGCATAAGCGAATATGAGCACCTCCGTAAGAAAATTTTGAGCTATCCCGACGCAAAATTCGGGTTCTCGGTGTATCGTTGCACTTACCAGAACGACGCGGATTGGAACAAATACATGGAGTATCTTGATGCACGTACACGGTGGCAACTCGAAGAGCGCGGCATTGGCGATCTCTACCCGCGCCTCGACTAGTCTGTGCAGCAATATCCGAGCTCAGAGGATGCCAGCAAGGAGAAAGTTCGAAAGTAAGTTTGACCTCATTTCTTTCATCTGCATGCAATGAGAGCTAGTGCATTTGCTCAGGCGCTTTCGAAGATGGGTTGATGAAGACTCGTCACGCTCTTATGGCACAGCACGCCATGACGCGTGCTTAGTGGTCGATGGATATGACGTAGATTGGGCAGTCAACCAACACCCCTTACCGCCAGATGAGCATGATAGCTCTGAGATCCTGTCCGTGACACTTGTGTCCAGGAAGTATGAACGCCATCAAGATCCAGATGAAAGCAACGAAGAAGACGGATTCGGCGATCTCGACCTAAGCAAACCACTACAGAAATATGCTGAGAGCGATTGCGGGGATAATGAAACCGGTGACAATAAACCAGAACCGAAGCCTCCCAAAGATAAGGTCTCCTCTGTGCACGTGGGCCTTTCCTATGCCTCAAGTGTGGTCATTGCTGGATGGCATGGGTTGGTATAGTATTGCCGATGGCCAAACGTGAAGATAGCAATACCTTTGCAAGTAGGCATTTCCTTCTGAGTGCCGTGGGTGTGGTCATTGTTCGATGGTCCAGAATGGGACAGTGACGTGAATGAGCGCCGAGATATTCATGACTGGCATAAGGATACACAGAATCAGGTCCGAGCACAGCATAGAAACGAGGTCTAGCCCGGCAGTGACATAGCTCCGGAGAAAAGAGATGGAAGCAGGTACTTTCTGTGCAGATGTGTGTGGAGAATTACTCAGTGACCATAGTCTTTGGTGTCCGACCTGCAGGTTCTTACAGCTGTAAGGACGCGGTTTATGCGGTCATTTATATTTACGTGATTGAGCGCACTATGTGTGTTTGGTTCGATCCATATACACGTTCAATGGTCCAAGATCCACTCGAATCCTCCGATATTTCCACTCCCGGGTATGACTGAGGGGTGATTTGCATGTGTCATGGGATTTGAGACTTTTCAATGTCTCCCAGATCAGGCTGAGTGGCATACGTATGACGTGGCGTCCGCGTTCCTCGGTCAGCTGCTTGATACTGTACCCCTGAATGTACAAGCAATTCACTTCCGAGCGTTGCATGTGAGATCTTAGAAACGAGTCTACCAGAAAAAGGTTCTTGCACTTGATAGTAGTCGAGGCACCTTGTCCCAGAAACCCCAAGCCACCCACTTGTATGTCGCTTGGAGATTCCACTAAAACGAGCTCTCCTTGGAGCAGGTGCCATATCGTACTCCAGAAGCCACAAAATGATCTTTCTAGAATAGACGCATTCAGAGGATTACTCGAATAGAACTTCGCTCCCACTGAACGGCGGTAATTGATGACTTGCCTGACATGCCCTGCTGGAGGCTGTGCGCGGTAAGTCAGTCTGGATCCCCAATGTAGCTGGTGTATATGGACATCAATCTCGAGGAAGCCTGCCCCTAGAGGGTTCGATTGAGGCAGTAAGCCAACAGCTAAGTTTACAATGGAGCATAGGCCGACATTCTCCACGTCCTGGTCAACGATCTGACAAATCAATTCGTTATCGGGCTGGGCGTAGTCAACCTGTATCCTGTGGCCATCGCGATATAGAGACAGAAGTGACTATATTCGGTCGCGAGGAATAGAGGCTTTCTTCTCGGAAAATCGCTGATACAGCTTCATAAAGCCTCGGCTTTTCACGCTGGATCCGTACTGGCTCCTAGGCGTGATCAGACATCGATTTCCCAGAAAATTATTAAATCTCTTGGCTACCTTGTTTCTAGGAACCTCGGACTTTTTGGCAGATGAGAGGATACTTATACACTCTTCAATGTTGACGTTCCAATCATTCATTACTATCACAGCATTTTTGGCGAGAAAATTTTGTTGCGTAATCCACGCACGGCTCCAATATTCGTCACTGTATAGCTCGTCGTCGATGGCTCGTCGCTTCTCATACAATTCTTGAGTATCATACATGGGCTCAAGCTAGTAACGGCACCTTTTGTGGTATACATGCCACATATGATAGAGTAAAGGGCTTGATTCGCTGCTCTGGTATGTCGGGGTCCACCCAAGAGAGCGAGCGTCTTCCTCCCAATCATCTTTGTGAGCCTCAATAAGGCTATGCAGTTGAGTAATCTGCCTAGCCATACGATGACTTCCGTAGCATCAGAGAAGATCTCACCCATTTGCGCAACTTGACGATTCCGTTCTTGAATGTTGCTTTGATCGATGCACAAAGTATCAATCTAGAGAAAGCGATCAGACCTTGTTGTCCCCATCGCGCTCCATAGTGAAGAAGTCGAACAGATTCTGCCGAATTTCAAATTATTGGCCTTTCATTAAGATGATCTTCTGTGGCGTGGGATCACCCCATCTGTATGATAAACACTCGTAGGTGGCTTCGGTTGTATAATCTGAGATGTTACATTGGATGTGTCCACCCCGTGACAACGAAGGTAGAGTTTTAACCAAGCGGATGGAGGGTTTGTTGTGGTATAGCAGCTCGTGTTGGAAAGTCCGTGTCGTCAGGAAGTCCATGTGCTCGCTGTGTAAGCGCTTCGTGCGCAGCAAGGATACAGGCACGTGTCCAAAACAAGCAGGGGGCAGCTTTTTAATGACGACAAAACCGAGCCAACAAGATAACGGCGGGCGAGCTTGAGAATGTTGGGGAGCGCCCGGTAAATGGCAAGCTGGCAGGTCGGCGGCGAGGCACGAGGCTGAGCCTGTAGGCAGCGCCACACTGCCACGCGAGCTTGTCAGCACCATCCTGGATGTGAATGCAGGTGCGAATGAAAGGAACACGATACAATTGCAAAAAACATCGTCATCGCACGGGCATCCTAACTTGCATTTGTATACTACAGCTCAAGATTTAATCATAAAACCCGAGGATCTTGTTCGCCCTGTCCAGAATCACCCTCTGTCCGGGAATCAAACCGGCAGCATCACTGTCCCAGGGTTCCAGGCCCATTGCTCTGCATCCTTCTTCACCGACCAACTGCTGCATGTCGTCAGCCTTGACGCGCCCAACGTGTTCGCTCTCACCAATGCCTCCACCAAAGTCTGGGCTGGGAGTGCCATTCACGAAGTTCTCACGCTGCCGCACGAGATAGTTCGCATTGTCTTCTGTCATTGGGCAAGCTGGGATGTACAGCACGCTCGAGTCTTTCTTGCCTGCATGCGTCTTATCGACGGCATGTATGGTGTCGCAGTGCCATGCAACATAGTCGCCGGGCTTGACTGTGGGCATGTGGATCATCGACTTTTGCAAGTCGAGGTGAGGGTGAAGCAGGTGTGACAACTCTTGCCCATGACCAGGAGTTGCACCGTGCACCCAAGACGTAGGTGTGGAGTCCATCTCCCAGTTGTCCGAGGCGAGGAAGTCGGTCGACTTGGTGACGGCTTCAGACGCTGTCTGCGCACCTTGGTCGACGCCGCGCTTTGGCGAGAAGAAGGGGCGAAGGAGGTAATACGCTGTTGCTTTCGCCAGTAGTGGATTGACAAGCAGAGTGCCCTCAAAAGCACTGCAAGTGCTTAATGACAGCCAACCCTGGAACATGCGAAATGCGCTGCAAGCTCCTACGCCCCGATGAAGATCAGACTTGACAGGCAGACGACAGCTCGCCTCCCAAGGGTCAAAGTCTTCCCATCGTCCTTTCCAGACCGAGTCGTAGACTTTGCCTAGGCCGTAGCCCTTCTCGTCCCAACGTTCAACACTACCACCATCCACATGTGGTCCTAGGGCGAATTTGGCATCGCCAGGCAGGCGCATCCGCAGGCGATCGGCGTAGCTGATTGGATGCTGTGTCGAGATTGGAATGTGCGGGTTTATGCTGTGCCAGTATGACATCAAAAACTTTTGGGTCTTGAGCATGTTCGGATGCCCACGTGCGAGGAGTTGAATGCGCGACCAGTACAGCTCGAAGACTTGAGGGTTGTCGGCAGGGAATGCTGCGGCACTGTCAACACCGCCTACTTCGGTATCATGTTGAGGTTCTCACCTTTGGTTTGAGGGTTCCGGCGAATGTACTCGCGCAGATCCTCCTTCCATTGCAGCGCCTCTGCCTCAGAGACCACACCTCTGACGACGGCAACTCCTCGCTTCCTCAACTTGCTGTTAAACGTCTCCGGCGCATTGTCGATGTCCTTGAAGTCGATCTCAGGAATCACCTTGGACCCAAGTTCGACGATGAGCGGGATCTCTTCCCGCAGTTCCCGGAGTAAGCGCTCCCAAGACTCTCGTACTTCGTTTTCGCGACCTTTGATCAGACGACCTTTGAGGTCTGCATATTCAGGCGTTAATGGTTTGAACTCCTGCCCGGAAAGAGATGCGAATGCATCGGAAATGTCGCCTGTGCGCTTTTGCGCCTGTGTTGCTGCAGTGCGCAGTTGTGTCGCAAATCGTTTGGTCGGTGTTCGGACGGTTCGAAGCGTGGAAAGCATGACGGGCGGATGCGATTCGGTAGTCGTTTTCGGTGTGCAATGGATGCTTCAGGATGGCCTTCTCTCTTCTAACACCGCGCCCATTATATACCCTCTGCTGCGTTGCTACTTCCTCAGGACGAGATGTGGTTCCGACAGAGAATCGGAGCTCTGATGATATGGGGAAGAGGTGAGCTTCCGGATGCCATTCTCAATGAGGGAAAGCGCTTTCCTCGGCTGATCTTCGCTTAATCGTCACCACCCCCAAAGCAATCGTTCCGCCAGGCTCGAACATGCATCGTCATCCCGTTCCGACAATCGCGAATGAGAGGAAGAGGAGTGCAGCTTTGTGACTCCACGACGAAGCTTGAGATGTCGGAGAAGATGAACCTCGCGTTATTTCGCCCCGTACCCCGCCACCCCACTCCACTGAGCAACGCCAAACGAAGCTCTGTTGTGCTGGATAAAGGCAGGCTGATACGACGGGCCGCGGCTCCACTGACCGCCTTCAACATCGTGAGCCCCACAGCAGTAACAGAGTACAGCTTGTGACCTCGCAAGCATAGCCTCGAGTAACTATGATTGAGAGCGGGGCCGTGGTTTGACCAGCCACTGAGGACGCGGAGAAATGGTGATTCACCCACCTGAATGCAATTGAGCCTTAAGGATCGGCTTACATGTGCTACTCGTGTCTGCAAGGGTCACGTCGACGCGTAGAGACGGTTACGGCGGGACGCGCTCCGTGACCCAACGAGGTAAATACCAAGCCCATGTCTCGGTATATGAAGTGTAGATGCCCACTTCTGTGTCTGGCTGTGAGTCCGTAATCGTCGACTTGAATAGTGCACTTCCAATTGCACCTACGTTTCAACATGCCAGACTCATACTTGCCAAAGGACTTCCTGTGGGGGTTTGCAACAGCAAGGTTCGTGCTTCAATAGCTCCGCCGTATATGATACCCCGCCATGACGCCGAAACGTCATCCACTTACTAACTGAGAATCAATAGTTATCAGATTGAAGGTGCTCCCGCAGAGGATGGGCGTGGAGACTCCATTTGGGACACTTTCTGCCGCGTTCCAGGCAAGATTGCAGGTGGAGAGTCCGGTGATGTAGCCTGCGACTCATACCACCGCACCGATGAAGACATCGCTCTGCTGAAGCAACTCGGTGCCAAATCCTACCGCTTCTCGCTCTCGTGGTCTCGCATCATCCCACTCGGTGGGCGTAACGACCCTATCAATCAGAAGGGTATCGACCACTATGTGAAGTTCGCCAAAGACCTGCGCGCTGCAGGCATTGAGCCGTTAGTAACGCTCTTCCATTGGGATCTTCCCGAAGGTCTCGACAAGCGGTATGGTGGCTTGCTGAACAAGGAGGAGTTCGTCAAGGATTTCGAGAACTACGCCAGGGTGTGTTTCAAGGCCTTCGGTTCGACAGTCAAACTATGGATCACCTTCAACGAGCCATGGTGCAGTTCCATTCTGGGTTACGGTACTGGTCTGTTTGCGCCCGGACGCACAAGTGACAGGAGTAAGAGTAAAGCGGGCGATAGTAGCAGGGAGCCCTGGATTGTGGGCCACAACCTCCTCCTCGCCCACGGTGCCGCAGTCAAGGCGTATCGCGACGACTTCAAGAAGCAGGACGGTGGCCAAATCGGTATCACTCTTAATGGTAAGCGACTCCACGTGGTATCGATTTTCCCCGTGCCACTTGGCAATACCCTATGCCACATGGCCTTCTCCGTGCTTGCGTGGTGTTCTGCGACGCCGCATACGCAGGGGCGGCTAAATTGGATGTCACATGTGCTCCTGGAATCCATAACTAACGTTGTATAGGTGATTGGACCGAACCGTGGGATCCGGAAGACCCCAAGGACCGCGAAGCATGCGACCGCAAGATTGAGTTCGCCATTTGCTGGTTTGGCGATCCAGTCTACTTTGGCAAATACCCAGACTCCATGCGTAAGCAGCTGGGAGACAGGTTACCCGAGTTCACGCCTGAGGAGGCTGAGCTCGTGAAGGGCAGCAATGACTTCTATGGCATGAACCACTACTGCGCAAACTACATTAAGCACAAGGACACGGAACCAGAGCTAGACGACAATGCTGGCAACCTGGAGATCCTCATGCAGAACAAGAAGGGAGAGTGGATCGGCCCAGAGACACAATCTGTCTGGCTGAGACCAATGCCTCTTGGATTCAGGAAGCTGATCAAGTGGCTCAGCGACCGCTATGGGGGACCTACCTTCTACGTCACGGAGAACGGAACAAGTCTGAAGGGTGAGAACGAGCTCCCCCTCGAAGAACTCCTGAATGACGAGTTCCGCGTCGAGTACTTCCGAGGCTACATTGGCGCCCTTGCTGATGCTCATACCCTGGATGGTGTCGATGTCCGTGGCTACTCGGCTTGGAGTCTTATGGAGTACGTCAAACCCACTTTCCTCATCTCTACCAAACTTTTCTTGACCCCTCTCATCAGAAGTCTAAAGAGACATCTGTCATTCCTAGTCCTGGCTTTCGTTCGTCGAAGTTATGTCACTTAGGTTTCCACAAGTATCCCGCGAACCATCATGTGCTAACGGTGTACCTGCAGCAACTTCGAGTGGGCCGAAGGCTACACGACACGATTCGGTGTAACCTATGTGGATTACAAGGGCGGCCAGAAGCGCCATCCAAAGAAAAGCGCGCGCGAAATCTCAAAGATCTTCGATCAGTACATCAAAAAGGAGTAGACAGTTTCGTTAAGCTGGGTCACGCCACGGGTGTGGCGTCAGGAGATAAGCTGCAGAGAATGTCATCCGGGGCTCCTAGCAATCTTCTAGCGCTCCTGCAATAGAATTTCAGCAGTCACTGTTCTCTTCTTTTAGGGACTCCGGGAATGCATCCTCCTTGGGTAAGATGCATTGTGTGATATTCATCTCTCCCCATCTGTTGAGATGCACGCACGCGTGGGCGTCTTGCGCGGCGAAGCGACCCTGATGCCCAAGAAGCCATCTCTCGGCCATTTGGTGTGTTACAAAATGCATGCATGGCAGATCTGATTCAGATCAGCCACTCGCTTGTTGCTGTCATCTTCCTTAACATTTCTGTTCGACCAACGAGGTGCTGCGCCCGGTATGCTACACGCGAATCGCCGATGTTCGCCTTCGCCCTCGCAATCATGTCTCCGAGCAGCAACCAAACCGTGACAATTTAGTCGTGGAGCTCGAAGCGAACTCGAAGAATCATGATGTGCAGATGCCGCCTGCCGCCGTCACGCACGAGTCGAAATATGCCAGGCAGCCCTTGGGCTTCCCGCAAACTTTAATGTTTGCAAGCATGTTTCAGATTTCGTCCTCATGGCCCTCGTATCCAGCGCTGGATATCGCTAAAAACGCGCTTCGAGTAATTATGGGTGTTCGTGGAAAAACACCGGGTTGTACGGGTCTCGTTCCACGGTTCCTAACGTATTAGTCGACCGCTATAATAGAGTTTTAAGGCACTAGGAGGATTTCAAGGTGCGACGGTTGCTGGGGATGATGTCTTTAACGTCTGATAGAGACGTCACACTTGCAACGTCGTCTTTCCCTCGTTCTTGCGCAATCACGCGAACGATTGTTGGAGCATGGACGTTGACCCAAACATGGTTTCTTGGGTAACCTAACCTGGTTCCACAAGATTTGAACACTAAGCATACATGCAGCCGTCTGGCGAGTAAGGTGAAGCGAGAATGTAGCCCCGGCATTTGAGGCTTCCAGAAGACAATATTCCCGTCTTTGGATAGTCACCGCTGACGTTCGTTGTCATGTCCAACATCACGATCTGCCGCTATCTTCACGATGAGATTCGAGAGTCGAGACACGCAACTTGGGCGATTGCTTACAGCCCAAGCAACCGCCCGAGATCTGTGGTTCGGCCGTTATCAGATGCGCCGAAGCCATTATGATCGGCCCTCCATGGGGAAGTGGCGAAAGTTTATCCTCACCGTTCAGACGTGCAACCTTTGATGCAACAACCTTCGATGCGATGTGGTTTCAGGGGTCCAGTATCCAAGGCTAGTTGCCTAATGCAGTGCCCTTCCCGAGCTCGGCATTATTTCCAACACCATGTCTCGGGATATGCCTCCAAAATTACGAGGAGGCGCGTCTTATCGAGGATGTCGTCGCTAAACCTTTGACGCTAGAAGGTTCGCAAGTTCTCGTATGTTGTTCGCTGTCTGAAGCAACTATTAGATAGCTCGGCACCTATTCCAACGACGTACAGCTGTAGCTGTCTCAGGTATATCGAGATGTTCTCTCCAGCCCGTTCACAACGACTTTGCTAAACTCGAAGTGGTCTCAATTTGCGGCAAAGGTGCCGCGTAGTGGATTAAAGCTGGTAAACCCTGACCAGCGGTGAACGTGCATCGCGACGAACGTGATTTTCTCAGTCTCCGTCCACTACCGCTCCGGTCCTTTCTCTCATCGCGGCTCGCGGTCGCTTCGCGGCCAATTGGCCTAGCGCTTCCGACGTGCGTGCTTTGGCTCGTCTCGCCAGGTTCTGCCGATAATCAACCCCGTCCAATATCGCCGCCAAGCTGTCTCCCGTGGCGGGAGGAACTCATGGACAATTTTTAGAGCCAGCGGAATCTTCAATGGTCCATCCAGGCGCATCAAAACGAGGCGAGCAGGAGAATTCCGAACTTGGCTCCGTCGTAAACTAGCCTGGCATAGCCTCACAGCAACATGATCGACCTAAAGTATGCAGGGGTCGAGCGGTGAACATCGAATTTTGAAGTCAGTGAAGTGCGATGCCACAGGCTGGCATGTGTTCCGTCCATCAGTAAGGGCTTGCCTGCGCATCGGCATTTGCAAAACATCACGAGAGCAGCTCTTGGGCCGTCTGTTGCGCGTCTACCAGATGCCCGTGCAAACGTCACTTACCAGCTTGCAAGCCGTAAGACTTATTGGGAGCGGAGCACAGTTCAGGCCTTCGGTGAACGGTCGCACCATGGACGCTGGCCCATGCTCCATCTCATTTTGCGCGCACCCAACTACAGGTTCGGAAGACGCATGTCTGCGTATAGCGGAGAGGTCTTACCACATATGTATACTCCTGCACGTGCTGCCCATGTCTGTTGGAACTGCAGGATGCAAGTGCAGCGAGCATGCATGCTGAGCACGTACCTTGAAACGCATTGATGGCAGTGAGGGTCGGCGACACCACTGGTAAACTTTGCACGCGCAAATTTGTGTGTGTCTACGTATTCGGCAAAGACAGGTCAGGTTTACGATTCGAGCTGAGCAGAGTTCGCAAACACAACACGGGCTCCCGCCACGGGAGGACGGAACCTGCCTCTCTGATCATGCAGTGAGTCGTCCGGAGAACCTGTTCTCTTTCATGATCGACCGCTGGCGTCCGGCAGCCCTGCTTGCGACTCAGATAGGTCCGCAATTCAAACATAATAAAATTGCATATTCGCAGGGTCTACAAGAGGATGATGCTCTAGCTCTGACACTGTATTCTGGGTGGAGAGGTCGCAACGGTAGCGGCGAGGGCAGAAGAGAGTTTTAGTTTTGGGCGTGCACCGAGCACCGAGACGGGACTACTGGACAGGGCCACCACGTGCGAGTGGCCTTGGCACAGCTAGCTTGTTTAACCTTTTGCCCGGCGTCGCTGGAGGAATTGAAGCATGAGCACCACGCCATGATACGCCGCGAAACGTCACAGAACGGTCCCCCTGTGTTCCTTTGTGAGCGCTGCGGTATCCTACATTTTTCAAATCCAGTAGTGAGTGCGGCGAACCGGTCAGCAGCGCGGAAACCGCTCGCAGCTGGACGGCCGAACCCTCCCTCCTTCACAAGTGCCCGTCGTCGCAAGCTTTCCTAGTGGAGACGGTCGCCTTCCGCGTCTTCTAGGTAAGGTGGCCCGAGGAGCTAGTGTCGCGCAGGAGCTTCGGCCACGGCCACTTTCAGTAGTGGGCTGTAATGCCTCGAGCTAGACGCCCATGGTGCCTTTCCAGAACAGCCACTGCGCTCGCCGGACGCAGGGTGAGGCTCCATCTTCAGGCGTCTACTACCGCCGTTCTGCCGTTGGGAGCCACGCATGCAACATAGTGCATCCAGTCTTGCAAAGGGTCTGCACCGCTGCCACTTGCAGACGCTTCCAGCTTGCGTGATCAGCGCTTGTCAGGCACCAAACCTCATGGTGCCAACCCTAGTGGCCAAAGTGAAACGATTCCCCAGAAACCCACGTGTGCGTGTGGCTACAGCCAGGTGCCAGGATGCAACGCAAGCACTAGCCTAAGGCCAGGGTACGGACACCAGGAAAAGACGCTATTTACCAGCTCTGATAGCATTGAATAGGTTATAGGCTCTTGCCAGCCATGTCCTCGCTCCTTCCTAATATTTCACCCTTCTAGCTTTCCCGTCCAAACTTGTAATCTCCGCTGTCTTTCACTTACATCACGACTCACTACACGCACCCACGTCTGTGGGTCATCTGTGCGCATTGCGGCACGCTTACATTAACCCTCGCCAATACCCTGATCTTGGGATTCCAGGAACAGCCGTCGTCACTTCACCACATTGATACGGTGTCACGCTTGGACCGCTTCTCAATTGGGCCCCGCTGACATAGCAACGTCGACATTGCCTAATACACTCACCGCCCCTCGCGGATCCTCGATGACTTCAGTACTCCATTACCGTGATCCTATCGCCTACCGGAGCGACTTCATGAGCACTCCCAATTACGCTCCTCCCCACATGATGGACAACCCCAAGAAGGCACTCTCCTACGATGGCCACTCTTCTGAGAGCGAGTCAAGGAAGAACATGTCTGGCGGCAAGAAGCGCCCCTCAAGAGCTGGAACCCGCAGCGTCACAACCCTCACCGCCGCGCAACTGGAGAGGAAGCGGGCCAACGACCGAGAAGCACAACGAGCCATCCGCCAAAGAACCAAGGACCACATCGACTCTCTCGAACGTCAGAATCGCGAACTTCAAGCCCAGCTGGAGGGCAGTTCTTCATCCAAGATGATTGATCTCATGCGTCGCAACGAAGAGCTAGAGCAAGAGAACGCTATGCTTCGCGCTCGCATGGGACACGCACCTTCCACCCTGGGGGTTCCAGAACACAACACAGGTATGTGATGAATTCCTTTTTGTCTTCAGAGCACAGATCAAAAGTTCCTTCTTTAGTCAAGTGGGCTCACTTCTTGGCTTTTTCTTTCCCCGGGCCGCACCCGTTATGTGCAGCCGACCCTCTTTTATGCGAGGTTGTCACTTTCCGTTTGTTGACAACGTCGACGACTCTGACGTTATTTCCTTTTTGGGCGACGTGCGTTGTTTGCAGCGACCATTGCTCATTTCTTGTTTGGCGAAACGAGAACGGTTTATTGTTCTGGTGAAACGCGGGTGATATGAGGTGCATGATGGCTGACTAGACTGATAGCAGGCGCTCCTTCGCCCAGTGATCGCATTCAGATGCTCAGCCAACCACGCAGATCTTCCACTGGCACAGCAAGAAGCGTCCACTCAGTTCCTGAGATTGCGACACCTGCTTCCCAAGCTGGTCACTGGCAGACACAACATTCGTATGCTCATCACGTTTCTTCACCGCACGTCGAGGCGCCACCGCCTATGGATGTGTCGACATCGCACCACGACGCGCGCTGGAGTCCTCATCCGTCGTCGCATCCTCAGCATCACTCGGTCTCAATGGCGGAGCACCCTTCGGTTCACGCTGTCGAGCCTTATCCAAGCTCCTACGGGATGGAGAGCAACGCGCGAGCCATGTCGTATCCTTTGGAGAACGCTTCGCTCGTCACTTCTCAGCCTATGCAGATGACTGGTTACGGTACACCGACTTCACACCCTTCGCCGCACCCATCTGAGTATCAGCGACACATGAGCGTCCCAATGAACCACCAGGTGCCGCCGCAACCCCAGCATCCCCACGCGCACGCACAACAGCAGACTTCCGCGCCGTACCCCTCGTACACTCATCAGGGCTATGCACCACAAGTCAGCCATCCTAGTGAGATGCCTATGATGGCACATGCTCCCCACTCGCACGCTCAGCCTCAGCCGCAAATGATGGGCGAGCCTGGTCAACACATCATGTACATGCAGCCCAACATGAAAGTTGAGCATTGAGCAGACGTCGAAGCAAAACGTAATTCTCCGCGGCCAGATCCTGGTAGCAGGGATACCGTAGTCGGACGTATACACTGTTTCGACCTCCACTCTCGCAGCTCGCCTACCCAGACCAGGTTTTGGATCGACTAAGAAGACATCTATCACGGCATCGGTACGAGCACTTCAACTGGTCAGAGACTGTCTGGCAGAGGGATATATCCGACACCGACTTCCTCCATGATCGATGAAGCCGGCCAAGGTACCCATGCTACATGGCTCGATGACGGCGATTGTATCTGCGCGATTGGCATACCCTTCTCGGACCAATTCTTGCGCGACATTGCGGTAGTTAATCAAATCGAGAGGGCACGTCAGAAACGCTTAGGCAAACTTTCGAAGTCGTCCCCGCACGGTATTGATCGAAATGAAACGCAACGCGCAGGATCCACTCGAGGCAGGATTGCAGTCAGCAGAAGCAGGATTGCAGCAGGATCCGCTTAGGTGCCCACAATACGGACCATGGAATTATCAGGGGCCAGCAGCCCTTGCTAAATGATGCTCAAAAGGTGGAGACGCGAGCTTGGTCATCTGAAAGTGGAATTTTCCGTGGAGCGCTTCAGTTTACTCCGAGATCGACTCCTAAACCAGATAAAAAGCCGAGACCCTCCACACCGACACCGAGTGCTAAGTGGAACACGCTACAGTTCTGCAATTGCAAGCCGCGCTGCTCTACCACGGTTACAGTAGTCTGTAAGGATCATGAAACAAGTCAATATCAAATACAGGCCTTCTCACGTCCTATCTATCGTGCTTCTCGGCCGGTCATTGTCTGGCGCGCGGCCACCGTTATCCGATGCTTCTCTGGGCCAGCAGAAAAATGCCCTGCGCCAAGCGAGCGATGCGCTCTATGACGGTCACTAGCGCGGTTTAGGCGGGCAGCCTGCTGCGCCGACGACGTGGACTTGGCTCCAGCTGCAGCCAATCGTGCATCGAAGAGTGCAGCGGTCCGATCTTACCCGTGCTCATGCATCTGGCAAGGCTTCCGCATTGAGGAACCTGCAGGCGGACATCAGCTCACCGCAACCTGCGTCGTCTTGCGCCCTGCGCAATGATGCACGCACGCAGAAATCGATAGTCTCATGTTTGAGAATTCAAGAGCGGGGATGAAAGTGCGACAAAGTTTCTTTGTTATTGTTCGATGCCTATCGGCAGTTGCACTCACGCTGCTGCCGCTGCTGCCTGTTGTGCACGAATTTGCCGAAGCAGGTCTGGATACCACCTCTCACCCACATCCGGGTGGCTCTTCACCCTGTTCATCAGTGTAGCTTCTCCTAGGTGACCCCATTTGCCTTTAACGAAGGTGAACTCGACGTCATCCTTCCTGGCTTTGCGTGCTTCGTCGCGCAGCTTCAAGACGGACTCCGGGACATCCATGGCTTCAAACTTTGCATCGTAGCTCACCCCCTGGAAGAACGGAATGGAGTATCGCGCACCTTCACTCTTCCGCGGACTGAGCACGCGATGTGTCGTCGACGCACAGACGCCGTTTGTTAGAGCCTCCATACCTTGACCGATCGCAACTACAAGTGTGCCGTCGATGGGCATGCAGTCGATCCACTGCCCTTTGGCGTTCTGCGCCTGCAGACCCGGTTGGTTGCAGGCTTGCAGCAGGTAGCTGGTGAGCATGCTGTCCTTGTGCGGACCAACGCCCTGCCGCTTGATCTCCCACTTCTTTCTGTCGATCTCGCTGGCTCCAGCTGGCAGATCTGGCACGTCGACTTCGGGGTACTTGACGATCTTCAGCTTGTGCTGCTGATGCTCGTCGAAGAACTGGCTGAATGCATCGGCGGGCAGGCCAATTGCCTCCGCGATCAAGGATGTGAAGAGAGTGGAGATTTCAGACATGCGGCGCATGTAGTCTTCGTACGCGGGCCGGAAGGCTGGAAGATGCTGTGATGACGGCCATTGGTTTGGTGCAAGAAGATTGTGGTACAGAGGTGCCTCAGGTCCTGGGACCGGGTGCGGTGTTGACAGATCGAGCTGTTCGCGGTGATCTGTATTCAAAGCTGTGGTCTCGTTGTCGAGCTTGGAGGTCGTCAGCAAGTGTTCGACAAGCGTTGTGAGCAAAAGGAGAAGACGTAATGTCGAAATGACTGCATGGCGGTCATAGACGATCGCCCTTTGGTAAATACATGTTGGGAGATACCCGGTTCTGTTTTATGGCGTTCGATGAAAAGGAGGACGTTCGTGTATGCGCTTTTTCCTTCTCTCCTTTCTTAACCCATAGTAATATCTTCAGCGCTTTCTTTCTTCTTTCTTCCTCGCTGCACATACACAGCAGAGCATAGCATAGCATAGCATAGCATACGACTGTACGAGTACCAATAGACCATAGACCGTTCGTTTCGATCAGAATATATCACCACACAACACCTTGCTCCTTCCCCTTTTCCATGCTTACACACATCAACAGAAGAAGCATGAACAGAAGAGGCATGCACGACCGACCCATTACAAACGAACATCCGCAATAACCAACACAAGTTCGAAAAGATGAAGAGAACTCAACTCACCCTACTCCACCCCAAAAAGCTCTTCTCATTCTTCATCTCAATCCTCTCCTTCTCCTCCTGCGGCAAATTCTCAAAGAATCCCTTGCACTCCCTGATTACATCTTGCACCAACTCTTGCGGCAACCCCGTCTCGCTGAGATACAGAAATCCCACGTTCAGCAGTGCAGAACGCAGGTCGGCGAGGAACTGAGGTTTCGTCGCTGGGTCGAGCGCGCGGGACAGAGGCAGGATGGGGAGCTCGGTGAATGTCTCTGCGTCGGCGGCCATTGTGTCGTGTTGTGCAGGTGGTATGCAAGCGAGTTTGTTCTGATTACTTATAAGTTCGGATTACGAGGTGATGCAATACGAGGTGATGCAATACGGTGTCCTTCCGGCATTCAAAACACCACAATGAACACCGACTTGAGTGTTGAGCTCATATCTCGTGATGCCGGCATCGGTGTTGCGGGGTAGCACGCCATGCGGGGCTCTTTCGCCATCGAAACATCGCAGAGCCGCTGACGCTCCTTCTGGAAATCGTTCCCGCCACAGGCGCTCGTAATTGTCGGACACAACTCCGACACCTGCAAAATCGCAGAGCACAGCTCGCAGCTTGCACTCGCTTCGCTCGATTTGTCCCGCTGTCACACTTCCTGACTCACAAATCTCCGAGCCTAATATTGTGGATATTGGGTTCTAATATTGAGCTGGGGCCGGAGAGTGAGGGTGCGTGATTGATGTTCGCCTCATTCTGCTTGTTGTTTTGAGCGAGTCTTGGGGAGTTGCCGAGCTTGGTGCAAGAGTTCGGTACACTCGAGGAGAGTCTAGAGGGGTGTTGGAAGGGAGGGGGGTCTAGTATCGTGCCATCCATTTAAACACCAGACCGAGTGCTGTGAGCTTCAGGCCGGCGACGAGGGTGAGTGTTGCAGCGCTGAGGAGAGTGAGCATGTTAGATTGTGTTCTTCGTCGATGTGGTGAACTTTGAATTGGCGAAGTCGTCGAGGAGTACAGTGATTCTGAGCAATTATATCTCTACATTTCAGGGTCTTTGCTTGCTTTTGTACCCTCAACCCCATACCCACCTCTCCCCAAGAATCCGCTGTTGCGCGCCCAACATCCCAACCTCTTCTCCACATGGTTCGGGGCAGCGTCCGCAGCGCAGTCCACGTGAGTGTCAAATGCTGTGTCAAGACATCTTCGGGCTCATGACGTTGTACGAATGACGTGCATCACACAGACAACGCATGCAGGGCCCGCTGTGTTCGGGTTGGGAGTGTGGGCTTGGCATGGGTATGACGGTCATGTGGTTGTGGGGACCCCACTACTTTCACTCGTTGACGCCTGAGGGGGCACGGTTTCTCCGCAGTTACCGGAGGAGAGGTCCACTTGTTGCTTAACGATCGTATTCATAGGCGCGTGTTGCGCAATACCTGTACATCATCTTTGAATATCACCGATGTATAACCACTCCTAGACCCTCACCGACTCCCCTGATCTTGCCTTCAACGACCTTCTCCGGCAGCGACAGTTCGCTGCATATCTCATCAAAGCAGTGCATCCCATCCAGAAACCTGACTAATGGCAATCCGCTTTCTCTTTCCCTGTCGCTGACAAGCTCATCCATGTCCTTCAATTCCTGGTTTCGCGAGATGCTTGGCGCTTTGTGGTGATGCGTGTTTGTTAAATGCGGATTCAGACTTGTTGTCGAGGCTATCGAGGGGCGGTGTAAGGAAAACGTAGGGTGTTGAGTATGGGAATGAAGGTTGGATATTGAAGGGTAGTGGCCATTGCCACGGATAGTGGCCGTGTCAGAGTCTCTCAGATTCGATGTCGAGGGAGCAGCAGAGGTTTGGAGGCTTGTCGGTGGCGCTGGAGGCACTGCTGTAGATGTTGCATATGCATACTTGTGCACACGGTAGAGGAAGCCCTTGATGATGCCGAAAGTGATAAATCGGCGAACATCGATGCCACTCAGCAAGTCGAGGTTGTCGAGGACCCAGCTCTTCAGCGTAAGGCCTTGCCGCAGCGAGGTGTATAGGGTGATAAGTGTTTCGTACTCAATGTGCCATTCACCGTCATCTTCTTCTTCCTCGTCCTCGTCCTCGTCCTCGTCCTCTTCGGCATCGAAGTCTGAGATGTGGATGGTCGAGCTAGCAGTCTCGCTCTGCTGCGATGCTGAGGACGATATCGAACTGCGTTCATCACGGCTTCGTTCAGACTCACTCCGCACAATTGTGCTCTTGCTGGCCGCTGATCCTACCCTTAGCTTCGGTGTTCTGACGTATCTCATGCACTCCTCCTTGACATCCTCGTCCACAATGAGACCGCCAATCTCTGCTGTTGGCGCATAGATCGCACTGAAGCTGAATATGTCCAAGAGCACCAGGCATCCGTAGTATACCAGGTGTTGCACCGCTCGCCGCGTCAAAGACAGGTCTGTATCTGCAAGCTGGGCGATCCGCGATATCGAATTCACCCCGTTGACGTATGGAAGAATGCGATTCAGGGTGAGGTCTGACGAGATGGGCGACTGTAGGCCGGCGAGGGACATTGTGAGGAGAGGGACCTGATGCGCAAGAACGGGTGGCGGAGGCGGTCTCGTAGGGAAGAGCTTCAGATTGATCGTGTTTGAGTCGTCTGATCGTGTCAGGAATTAGAGTCGAGGCACATGGATCCATAGGGCACCTACCAATTGGTATCATGCACTCAGCATAGTTGTTGAGATCTTCCAGCACCATCTCACACAGCGCATACACCTTGCTGCCGCTGTCTATCCCAAAGCTACTTCCGCCCATACTGTCGTCCATGCCACCACTTCCTATCCCTAGCCCTACATTCTCGTCATCCCAGACACCCTCCTCTTCCTTGCTAAGAAAGCCTCCCTGTTCTTCCAGTCCTCGCAGCAGCCTTCCCAGTTTCCTCACCACCTGCCCATAGCATGCCCAGTCTGCCTCATTCTCGCCAATCACAATGGCAAAGTTGAAGATGAACTCGTTTCTCTCATACTTCTTCTCTTCCTTTATACACACAGGATAGCCGATGATGCGATGGTGGTTGATGCAGCAGGTGATGAGGCGGTCGCAAAACTGCTGGGTCGGAATGAGGTATTGTGTGACCGAGGAGAAGGGAAAGAGCGGTGCTGGAAGGGCAGAGGGTGAGGTTGATGGCGTTATCGCGCCTGCTGGTACTTGGTGGAGTACGCGTGAACCTAAGAATGATCAGCCGTAAGATAGGTACAATAGGTGTTACCGCGCACCTTTCTCGTGATGAAAGCGCGTATAGAATATAGCCTTGATCGCGCGTGTAGGCATTGGAATTGTCAATCACCTCAACGGTGTGAATTGCTGCGAACTACATGTTGCACGTGGAGGTCAAAGGGACGCATTGCGGGGAGCTTGAGCCTCAAGTGGTTCGTGTCCGTGCGCCTTCCCTTCGGTACTCACATCTTAATGTATCTACTATTCCTTTAACCTGGTCATTATGCGCGTGGGAGGACTATATATAGTGTCTCTCGGCTTCTGTTACGCCGTGATGTGCTACCTTTGGGCATGATATATAAGGCCTCGCCTTGTGCACTCGCCTAATGTGTAGACTTCTTGTAAGCGCAGTCGAGTTACATCCTTCGCAGCCCGCCTGCTTTCCCACTTTCTTATGAGTGGCAGAGCTACCTCAACTTCTCTTGACAGATCTGGACACCAACCGAACAGCCATACCGCACCAGCTGTGCGATCTTTGACGAATTGTCGCTACTATTTATACGCCCCACATCATGGGCAGGAGACGACGCTCATGCTTTCTTCAAATACCACAACATATAGATGGATTGAGGCATCTCGATCCCCGATCTACGCGATACCAAGGCTTTTCGAACCGCCTTTCAAACCCCCTTCCCGAATCCTGAACCCCTCTGGGCGAGCAGAGCGCCTCTACAGCATCGTACTAGCATACTTGCTCTTCGAAAATCAGCTGGGCTTGGATGTCACCTCTGTTCTCTCTTCGTTAGTTCAATGGATCGAGAGAAGCACTCAGCTCTTCCAAATCAAGGTGAAAGTCAGCCGTGGGTCTCTCCATGTCGTAAGCCGAACTGGATCCTGGCTGTCAAAGATACCGATCATGACAATCGAACTCTGCTTCTACATGACAGCCATCTTTGGGACTCATCGACCTCTCCTGAACCTCTGGCTAACGTCCAGATCTACCATTGCTCGAAAGTTGCCAAGCAAGACGGTTTGTCACGAGAGAAGTGGGAACGTCGTCTAGCTGCATCAAATCAAGTCTCGCTCGAGTCTTCCCGCTTCAGATGGTCTCTGAACACCGGATCTGACGCAAGTATCAAGCTGGTTGCTGCTTGGCTACAATAATGCGCTGACAGCCACGAACCTTGTAACAAGAGCTTTGGTGGCCACATAACATCTAGGCTTCTAGATCTCAATGCCGACCTGGAATTGGGTGACAATACGTTTGGTCTTTACGAGCGATATTAGCATACAACCTTACGCTAAGCTTAGTTGTAGTCAAGGGCAATCGCGCCTCTGTCTTGCTTACTGAAGACACACTCAAGGCATTTCAAGCTCGTATCGGAGTAGACACGCTTCCTAAACAATCCAGCATGCCATAAAAGTGTGCAGAGGGCTGTAGGTGAGGTATCTCTGGGTGAACACTCTTTGCATTATTCAGGGCAGTGGCCAAGATTTTTCACGAGAGGTCTCTTAGATGGGATCAACCTATGTGAAGTCTTTACTTACAATCGCGGCATCCGACTCTATTGATTGTAACGTGGGTTGTCTTGGGCATCGACAACCACTCCAGGTGGAAGATTGTCAAGTTTTCGATGACGGCGAAAGTACCATGTTCTTCGCTGGAACTGACCACGACAACTCGGAGCATCACCTCAAAGATCGGCATCTTGACACTCAAGCTTGGGTTTATCAAGAACGTATGATGTCCCCACGAACGATCCACTTTCGTGGGAGTGAGATCATATGGGAATGTCGAGAGCGGCTTACGTGTCAGCGTTGCGCTGTGAGCCTGCAGCCGTCGAGGGGTGTCCCCAACGATGGGAATCACGAACTACCTTCACAAGGATGACCCGGATGACACTAGAGGATCTCGAATAGGCAAGATTTGAAGACATCTGGAACGAGATACTGTCTGTTTACACCAAAGCTCAGTTAAGCAACGAGGACGACATACTGAGTGCATTGGCGGGTATGGTCCAGCTTCTAAATCGTCACACCAATTACGAGAACAGCTTTGGGCTGTGGCTCCCATTCTTCCTGGATCAGCTGCTCTGGTGCTACTGGTCAAATCAACGAGGGGCTTGGTGAGATCGTAAAGCCACACCCGGACTTCCATCATGGTCGTGGGTCAGTGTTCGAGGCGGGGTCAGCAGACTGCAGCACTCGTCAAGAGGCCAGACACATGTGTATAACGCTGAGCTGATATGCGCTCCACCCGCCACTCCATTTGGACAAATATCGTCTCTGTGCACACGACTGCCGCGTCCTGTGTCGACAAAGATACGCAATTGGGTTACGGTCTGTCGACCAGGGCCTGTGTCCAGATATCATGAAACACCAAAGAACCTTTTTCAGAAGAGAAGAGTATACACTGGGTACTCCGGTCGAGAGCTATACAAGGTGGAATTTCGCTACAGACTCAACAAAGCGCTCGAGTCGGAAGATGAGCATAGCAAACAACAGGCCCATGAAGAACACGACACCTGCACTGAGCTTTTCGAGTCGAAAGATGAATAGAGGACACAGAAGCTTCTGAAGGATCGATACAGCATGTTCAACAAAGAAGAACCCGTGGTAAAGGTCGAAATCATCTGAGACAGCGTCGAATCGGATCGACGCCGGTAAGAGAAATGCATTGTCCGTTTGCAAAAGACAGTCAGCTGACACGCTGCGTTATCACGGTGCCTTGAAGCATAACGACTGCCGCAACATACTGCCTTTTCGACTCGTTCGGAACTTGCATTTCGTGTGCTAACGTCAGTACTTCCCGCCGTTCTTGTCTCTTGACCATCGTTCTCTCTCCTGCCCTGTGCTTAGTCTCATCGCATCGCCGGAGAGGCTTGTGCTTCGCTGAGCAGCAGATACACCATTGGTCAGGCTACAATTACCAAAGCGAGATACTCACAGGTAGCAGATGACTCTCCATGACTACAAAGCCTCTCGAGTCGCTTATCAGCAATTCGTTCCCGCATCAACACAGATCGACCTGAGCCCTCTTCCCAGTGTTGGGGTCGATATGCACGTCAGCAGAAGGAATAGTTTGTCTCTTCTGCTAGTTACGAATGCTATTCAACCGTGACTACCAATCGCACCAAGGGTCAAAGATTTATTAATCCGACTGATACCACAAAGCCTTAGCACTCGACCAAGAGTACGACATGGGCCAAACCCAGTGACTGAGTGGCAACATTGAGGGAAATAGTTGTTTGTATCTCCACGTTTGCCTTACTTTCGCTGTTCGGTCCAATCGTATAGCGCGTCCGCACTGAACGTATATCTGTCTGGCGCGAGAAACCTCAGAGTGTATGTGCTGAAAGTAGGCGAGAAGGGCGAGACGAAGTATGTTGCACTTGCGCAGGCTCTGTTGCCTACTTTCTGACCGCGTCCATCGTTGCTCCTCTGCTCTTACTTTCCTCAGGCCCCACACCACATTCCTACTTCCCACCACTTCTCCCCTCACCCTGTAACGCATTTTGTGCTCTCCGTGAATGTTAGGCGCTGCCTTCCGAAGCATCGACTTGACCGGGTTTTTAGTAAAATTGCATCCAGATTTACATAGTGCTTACAAACTCCTCCAGCAAGGCTGATGCAGGGGACAATGGCATGACTGACCCGTACATCCATGTGGGACTCTCTGGCCGCGACCCAGACGCAACCTAGATCCCGCATATCAGACGCCCCTATGATAACGCAGTCTTTCTGTGGGCTGGTTAGGAGAACAAGTGCCGGAGAAAGTCAGCATGTGCCCAGGTGACCAAGACCTGAGAATTGCAGGTCCCAGTTCTAGAGGATTGGAAGTGTCAAAGTGCACCCTGGAAGACCTCAGACTACGGTACATCTCTGAAACTCATGTCCTTGTGTGCCAGGAAGCATCTATTCACGCCTTATCCTACACCCCTCCCCCTCTCCTTACGACTACCACTCAGCAACCTCGCCCTTCCCCGGCATCTTACTCCTAACAACCTTGTCGCAATTCAGCAAACACAACGGATCAAACGCCTTCTTGAGCTGCCTCATCGCATCTACGGTATCCGTACCCAGCTCATGGGGAATATAGTCTCTTTTAACGAGCCCGACGCCGTGTTCACCCGTTGCGGTGCCTTCGAGCTCGATCGCGCGCTTGACCATGTCGTGCACGAGGTGCTTAGTTTTTTCGTACTCGGTGCGGCGGTTGTATAGGATGATCGCTAAACCGTGTTAGCATGGAGTGTACAAGGATGAAGTGGGGAGGATTTTGGGGCAAGCTTACCGTGGAAGTTTCCATCACCGGCATGCCCGACGATACTCCCCAGCAGTCCCGATTTGCTGATCTGCTCCTTGGTTTCTTCGATGATCTGTGGTAGCCTTGAAATAGGAACAGCGACATCCGTCGTCCAAACACCTAGATCATCATTATTTTCTCCCTTCGCCATGACACTCCACAGCGCCTCCTTGCGCGCCTGCCACAAGTCCTCCTTCTCCTGCTCGCTCTTGGCAAACTCGAAGCTTACGCTCCCTGCTTTCTTGGCCATGCCTTGCACCTGCGACACTTGCTCTTTCACGCTGCTGGGCGTGCCCGCGAACTTGAAGAACAGCGTTGGTGCGTTTTTCCATGTTCTGGAGGTCTGGCCCGCGTCGTTGATGCATTGCATTTGCACGTCGTCCAGGATCTCGATGGCGGCGATGGGCACGCCGGCGCCGACGACTTTGAATACGCAATCAGCAGCCGCGCGGATAGAGGGGAATGCGCAGACGGCGACGCTGGTGTGTTGTGGCTTGACAGTGACTTTGAGGGTGGCTTCTGTGACGAGGCCGAGCGTGCCTTCGCTGCCGATGAACATGCGTGTGAGGTCGTAGCCGGCGGAGGATTTGCGCGGGCGCTGGCGCGTCTTGATGATTGTGCCGTCGGCGAGCACGACGGTCAGCGAGATGACCCAGTCTTTCATTGTGCCGTAGCGGTACGCGTTTGTGCCTGAGCAGCCGGTGCCGACCATGCCGCCGATCATGGCGCCTGGGCCTGGGTCCGGAGGGAAGAAGAGGTTGTCTTTCGCCAATTCTTCATTGAGGATCTCCCAGCCGACGGCAGGCTGGACGACGACGTCGAGGTCATCCTTGTGTAGCTTGAGGATCTTGTCCATGCGGCTGAAGTCGATGCAGATGCCGCCCTTTGTGGCTGCGAAGTGCCCTTCCAAGCTGGTGCCGCCGCTGTAGGGGGTGACGGGGATCTTGCGCTCGTGGCAGATCTTCATGATAGCGCTGACCTCCTCTGTGCTGCCGGGCTTGACGATGCAGAAGGGAACGTCACCAGGCTCGGCGGGATGCGACGACCAGGACGAGCCGCTGTGCGATTCGAGATCCGACCGCTCGAGCGAGATGTTCGCCTTGCCGACGATGTCGCGGAAGTCTGTCCATGCTGCCTCCATGTTCGCCTCTGAGATGTTGTGCTTGACGGGTGGGAATGTCTGGAGCGGCGCGGTCGAGGCTGTGTCGGGCTTTGGGGGCTTCATTTGGCCATAGTAGTAGCCCATGGCACCAGCGACGGCAACGGCTGTTGTGTGTTAGCATGTATATATATATATATACATATATACATATATATATATATATTATATCTTGCACAACAGCGACTATCGCGTGAAGAGCGCGTACCTGTAACTGTCGCCCAGAACTTTCCTCGCGCCGTTCTTTGCTGCAGCGACTGGATCTGAATCTGCTCGGCCTTCTCCTTCTGCACACGCTCTTGAATACTCTCCTGCAATTGCAGGTAGAACGGCCTCTCCCCATCAGGCACCGGCTTCTGGTCCTTGTTGCTCGCCCATCTCTTTTGCGTGATGCGGCCCACTCCCGCGCGAACTCCGCAACTTGCCCAGCTTTCGATTCCCGTGCGCCCAACTGTGACCCTTGTGCTGCTCCTCGCGAGCACTGAAGCTCGGGGTAAGCCTCTTAATGACATGGCGACTATGAAGCAGCCTGACACATTGCCCCCCAAAAGCGTGAGGGGAACCTTAGGCGTGAGAGGAAGCTTAAGCGTGGGGGAAAGCATAAGCATGAATAAGCTCAAAGCGTCTGAGGTAGCTTATGGCGTTAGTCTTGGCAGTGATGTCGATTCCCTAAGTCCGACCCTGGACCGAGCCACGTCTTCGGGAGAGCCGCCGCCCCCGCAAGTCGGCTGCTCCCAACGGCTATGCATGCTTCTTGGGACGATCCTCTTGTTTGTTGGCGATGGTCTGGCAAGCCAGGAATTACACAGCATATGGCTAAGTTCACGGGAGGTGTTGCCTTCGTATTGCAATTCAGATCCGGCACGCATTCATTAGATCGTCACGTACACAGTGCATTGAAGAGCAATGAGATAGGAATATGCATTCGTGAGCCCCGCTAGCCAACACCAGGGCGAATCTGTCCGAAGCGATATATACGTATACATATCCCCGACTCCCAGAACCAAGACAACACCGCTAGACACGCAACGTGTTCTGGGGTATCAGACATGCAAACGCATGCGACGCAAACAGCAATAAGAGACAAGTGGACCCAAGTCCTTCCCCGTGCGCCTGTACACGAATGCTAGGTATATATGCTAAGGATGCTCGCAGAAGATGCAGCATGATATCAATAAAACATGAATGGTGAAAAAAGGCCGTGACCCGCAACCGAACGCCGTGCTGAAAGATGAGTGTGAGTGATGAGAGTAGCCAATCGGCTGCTAAGGCAGAGGAGAGTAGATGTTATTGGGGTAGATGGCAGGAGGATCGGCGGCGCAGGTCATAGAGAGGATAATGACTTGCGTATGCGGATGGTAGGGCTGTGTTGCTGCATGGCGACGTGGCAGCGTGGCGATGAGTGGAACCGGCCGACTCAGCCTCAAGTTGACACTTTCCTCGACATGCGCAAAAGCCTCGTCTTGAACCAGGTGATGAAGCTCAGCCACCGACCCTTCGCCGCACGCTTCGTCGTCACTTCAGGCGTGACACCAGCCTTCTCCAGATCCACGGTGCTCACGTGCTTGGGCAGCGAGTTGACGTGTGCTTCGCGATAGTCTGAGTACTGTCGTCCACCGACCGAGGGCCTTGGTGCCTTCTCGTTGTGCGAGTCGGAGATGCTGCGAGAGTGCTTGTATTCAGCACGGTCGGTGGCTTCTGACTTGCGCCTCTGGTGTTCCTCCTTCTTCGCCTGTCTGCGGTAGTCCCGCTCGGCTTGTTTGGTTGCTTCCCTCTCGTATCTGCGCTCCTTTGCCAACTCCTCCTCTTCGAACTTTGCCCGTGCAGCACGGATCGATGCAGCGCGTGATGCAGCATCAATCGGCGAGTCGCGGCCGCCGCGGATGAATCGCAGACCCTGGTCGAACGAGGTGCGCGAACTGGGCGAGGTGGTGGTGTCGATGGACTTGAGCGTGTCTCCTCTGGACCGTGCTTGGGCAACGGGCGAGGTCAGGGATATGGTGGACTGGGAGTAGTTGCTGGCGAGTCGTGTTGTTGAGTTGTTGGTGTGAATGCGCAGGGATACACCAGGCACGGGTGATATCGAACCAGATCGACGCCCGGGCTCATACGCGTTCTGTCGCAGACGGAACTCCTCGTCAGACATGATATCATCGCCCTCATTCTCGATTCCAAGTATTGATGATGGTGACGACTTGGATGCGGGCGGTAGGTAGGCTGTTGGTTGCGGAGTCTGGCGGATGGCCGGCATGGGCGTTGGCCGTGTCAGACCACCAGACGATGTCGAGAACTGCGAGGTGTTCGAAGTCGAGCGGGTGTGTCGATGGCGGCCGTTGACGGGGGTGAAGGTGACGTCTGATATCGAGCGAGAGTACACTCCATTGTACTCGTTGGCGATGCCGAGGCCTGCAAGACTTTCATTCTCTGCAGCCGGGCGCGAGAGGTCCAGGGCGTTCGTATCCTTGGACGACAGCTTCCGCAGGTACGGCTTGATCTTAAGCGGATGCGAGGAGGGAGAGGCGGGCATGTGCTGCGGTATCTCGGTCCAGGACTCCTCGATGGTCATCTTGGGCGTCTCTGACCGATTAAATGTGAATGCTCCGCCGTCAGCAACCGGGCTCAGCGGGCTCGCCAGCGACGACGAGGCGGAGTGGCCGCGCTTGTGAAGCCGTGCATGGCCCGGATGCGCATGCGCTCTGGAGTTGACCATGGTGGTGGTGCTGGATACTCGTGGTGTTACCAGTGCATGTCAGGTGTAAATAGAGGACCGGGCGGTGGAGGGGAATGTAGCACGAGCATCTATCACCAAGCAACCGCCATATCAACAGAAATTGACGCCCGCGGAGAGATCGGATCGGTGACGAAACGACAAACTGGCACTTGTTGCACTTGTCAAGCGGGTCGCTAGGCAAGTCTGTCGCTAATCCGGGGTCGAACGGCTCACTGGCACGGCGTTCCAAGAAGCAGGGCGCGCGGCACGTCGCGCTGCTGGAGAGTTGCTTCGGAGGGATCGACAGCGGCGATCAATCTCAGCGTAATCGTGTGGAAAACCTCACGTTCAACAGGTCAACACAAACGCAAGCAAGAGGCGATGCTGCTTATATGAGAATATGCCGCAGCACGCGAGTGCGCGGTGCAGGTGGGGAGAGCTAGGCAGTGCGCCAGTATGAGCCAGTGGGCCATAGACGGCGACTCCATCGATTTGAGATGATAAGCCCAAGATGAGCGAACCATCGAATCGCAGCTTGCAGACGCCTGGCTGCGGCCGCCGGGACCACCAGTGCCCGTACCGATACGGCGATGAGAAGAGCACTGCTTTGTTCGAGTTTCTCGCTTTCGCACTTGCTCGAGCACGCCCTCATTCGCTGTTGACCTGTGGGGTTGCAGCAGAGGGACGACTTCAACGCGCAAGCAGTGGCACAGCAGCCGTCTTTCTGTCTTCGTGACTGGAGGTTGTCGCAGCTGCAGCACTCCAAGCCAAGTCATCCTTTACGATCCTGCGACTCCATTTGCCTAGCCTCCGCGCTCACCGACTGCACGAAGCTGACTATCTTTGTCTGCGGCCCGGCACAGGTCTGCTAGAATCTGCGGAGCAAGATCCGAAGTTGCCATGTCGACTCGGTGGAGCTTTGTTTCAAGAGTTGCAGCTGACAGAAGAGAGCTGGCCTCCCATGTCTCCTCCTATGTGATGGTTCTCCATGGTTCGAGCTTGTCACGATGCATTCCCCCGCGTCTCAGCACGTTCGGCCAAGGACGAGGGCCTGGATTCATCCAGGTACCCTGGATCTCGGCGCCGGCCTTCGACCTCATGTTCACCCACTTTGACGTGAGCCTACCGCTGAAGAGCGTTGATTGTCTGGGTTGCTACCACATTGTAACCACAATCTGTTGTTGATCGTAATTGATGGTTGACGCAAGGTTTACAACACAGCGCCCATCTTGGCACGAACCATGTCACGATCCTTGAAATTACGGCTGTCTGTCGAGGTACCAAGAGGTTTTACCTGCGGATCGAGCGCGTCATGAGCATGATGCGGTCCCTTACAAAGTAGCTTACACGTTTATCACCCTCCTGTCTTAAGCAGTATCAAATTGCATGCGTCGTACAGGTCACAGATACCGGCGGTCTGATGTTGAACTCATAGTATTGCCATGTTGCTCTCTAGACGAAGTGGTTAAGTGGGTTGCAACTGGGGCGCGGCACAAGAGGGTGTCTTCAGGAATTGCATTTTGGTTCGACGGTACGAGGGATACCTCAGCTGGGACATCTCACATTTAGTTATATCTTGTTGTATTCTGAATGCAGGATGCAATACCGGTGCAACGTCTACTCGCAATCATTTTCCAGCATTCCACTCAATGCACTGTATCCATCTCGTCATGCCATGAATTACCAAAGCTGTTCTCTAAACTTCTTTCTCTCTGATACTGCTGCAGCGCCTTGTCAAGGTATGTTGAACTCCTTCGTTTGGTGAAATGATTCGAATGATGTCGGCGTGAGACACGAGGGTCTCCCTCAGGCAGTAACCGTAGCTGGCTTGACTCCAGTGACCAAGCATAGTCTGTCTCCATTTTGCTGGATCTCCCACATGGTCAGCGTATGGGACGATGAGGTCCAAGGCGTATCTGCGGAACGTCCATGATTTGGAAATGCGTCTGCAAATTTCGGGATCTGAGCTTGACAGAGGGGCTAGGCAGATGCGATATACCCCCTCCACCCCAGCTTTAGCCCTGGTGGTACGCTCGTTGTTCTAGACCTTCTCTCGCAATCCCTCTACCATGAGCGCGAGCTGATATAGGTTATGGTGCTCCTGTGAAGACAACACAGAAGTTGTTGGATAAGTGACATCTGACCGAGGTGTTTGTTGAGCTTGTCGAAGTCCACACCGACGCAGGTAGCCATAATCTCAAGCGGGTATCGCTCAAGCAGGACGAATGGAGTAGACGCAGTCGCTACATGTGGAGGTCCAATGGGCGAGTAAACGTTCTGTGGTATGGATTTGACGTGTGAAGGGGCATCTCGTTGAGTTGTTGCCACGCGTAGACATGTGAGGAGACTTGTAGGAGGAACGACAGTAGCCTGAGAATCTGCTTGGTCCGAAGTAGAAAAAGATGGCGGGGTTATATCAATGCCACCTTTCTTGATATCTGCTTGGTCCATATTGACAGTAGAAGTAGGATGGAAGTAGGTGAGCGAGACGTGGAGAAACAAGGAAAGGAGAGAGGGAGGCGCGACGAGGAAAACATACTCACGACGCTGCTGGGCCATGGTTCAGTAGGGAGATGTGTCCGTGTTGTGAGCAAGTTAAAACCTTGAATACCTCCAGGATGATCTTTGAGGCCTCCAAGTCTGAGGATTGAATCGTCCCGTTCTTGTTATCATCGATTCGGGACAACACCTTCAGTACCTCCCGTATCCTTTTGGAGGTGCTTACATTCCCACGATTGATTGATATCTCTAATTCTCCCAGTGCAGCAGGTTGTTGAATTGCGCGAATACCTCCAGGCTATAGGCAAAACCCCTGTTACGTTTCAAGGTTTTCAAAAATTGAAGATGTCAACTATTCCATCCGCAATCTTGGTGAATGCCTCCACGGTGGTGTCAGAGTGAAGGTGCGAGGCTAGCGTGACGTCGACGCACGGTCGCACCTTCCTCTTAACACCGCCGAACGTCAAAACATTTCCTGCCATCCCAGACCCATCACCCGCCGCACGTCAACCCAAACCGGCGCAACCATGTCTGGAAAACGCGCGAACCTTTTCGGACAGGGCCGTTCAGAGAACCCGTACGACGAGCGCGATGAACCCGCCGACGTGCCGCAGCGGGCGACTGCAGCTCAATTGGCAGCGCGCAAGTAGGTTTCCTTCATCCTCACCATGACTCGGACTCCTGTCGCGTGTCACCACAGAGCGCGTCTATTGCACCCTTCACGTTCACGCGCTGACATTCACCTCGCAGGATCAAATCAGTCAAGCCCCGCCGCGCAGCTGGCGCCTCGTCCGTAAGTCCTTCACGCTCACACGCCCTCGATCACGGTCGCATCCACCACCACCACCACCAGCATGGTCGACAAATACAGCCTCACGCATCGCAAGGTCGTGCGAACGAGGCATATGCTACACCAGCGCACTGCTAACGCGCCGACACAGGGTCTTTCACAGAGTGTGAACTTCAGCGGAGGGCAGCAGACACCCAACTTCAACTTTGGAGCTTCAGCGCCCATCGGAGGGGATAATGGCTCGAATGCCTCCGGGGGTATGTTTGGCGGCAATGCCTTTGGTGGTAACGCGACGAGCAGCTTCCCACCTGCGCAATCGTCGAATTCAAGCAATACCTTTACCAACAACTCCTTCCCCGCCCCCAACGCGTTCCAGCCGCCCACAGGTGGCTTCGACTTCTCCCCCGCGTCATCGACAAACAACCCCTTCGGCAGCATGAACGACGGCGCATCCGCGACGAACGGCACATCCACACCTTTCGGCGGCTCCATTTTTGGTAGCCAGCCTGCAAGCAATCCTTTCGGTGGAGCTCAGCAAAACAATACAAGCAGCTCGTCCGGGTCGACTAGCATGTTCGGCACGACCAACGGCGCGTCCACACCCTCCTTCATGTTCGGCGGTGCCAGCTCGTCAGTAGCAGCCGCACCCAGCACGCCGGCCCCACCGTCACAACCGACCTTCAGCTTCGGTGCGAACACATCCACTCCCACTGCGTCGAGCACCCCGTCCTTCCAGTTCGGCGCGACCAGCTCTGCCGCCCCAGCCAGCACGAGCACGCCAGCACCTGCCTCCACAAGCATCTTCAACTTCGGCGGGTCCACGCAAAACAATGCGACACCTGCGGCAACACCCGCATTTGGTGGCTCTGGCGCTGGTGCTGATGCGCAGAAGAGTGAGAGCACACCAGCAGCTGCTATACCTCAGAAGAACATGTTCGGCTTCGGCGCAACAAGCACACAGGGCACAGACAGCACACCAGCGGCAGCACCTGCGACGTCCTCCACAAGTCTGTTCAGCTTCAGCGGAGCAGCAGCACCCAAGCCCGCAGAGGCTGCAACACCCGCGCCAGCCACGAACATGTTTGGAGGCGCAAGTACACCCGCCCCTGCCCCTGCCAGCAACCTCTTCTCCGGTCTGCAGACATCCACAAACTCTAGCACGCCGAAGTTTAGCTTTGGCCAGACACAAGAAGCATCAAAGGCACAGGAATCGACACCCGCCAGCATACCGAATTTCAGCTTTGGTCAAACACAGGAAACACCAAAGGCGCAGGAACCGACGTCTGCTACCCCAAGCCTTTTCAGCAGCGTGAAGCCCGCAGAGCAAGCCAGCAGTGCAGCAGCAGAGACGCCCAAGAGCAATCTCTTTGCCGGGCTTCCGAAGCCAGCAAGCACACCGGCGCCCGACTTCAGCAGCATGTTCGGTGCATCACAAAACAAGGAAAGCGCCCCCAAAGAGAGCGAGAAGCCTGCGAGCGCGCCAATGTTCAAAGCACCCGAGGCACCCAAGACAAACATGTTCAGTGGATTCAGCACACCACAGCCCGCAAAGATAGCGGACAATGACCAGGCGAAGGCAGGGATGTTCACCACACAGCCCAAGGCAAGCACTGGCTTCTCTTTCCAGTCATTCGGGTCGAACAACGCCCAAGACACATTCACACCATCCAAATCACAGGCAGCACCAGCTCCGCAAGCTGCGCAAGAGACACCCGCCCAGCAGCCTACCGCCAAAGAGGTCTCCAATCCTTTTGCAGGCCTTTCAGGTTCTTCGAGTGGCGGTTCCAACCTGTTCAACCCTCCAAAGGCGCAGACTCCTGCACCTCCAGCATCGGCAAAGTCCACGGAACCCAGCGCGTCAACGCTTGACACATCGGTCGCGCCGCAGCTACCCAAAATTGGCAAGCTCAATGTTCCGAAAGATTGGGTTATTGAGGATGTCGATGCCCCGCAAGACGCAGACGATATGGTCAACTACATCATGGAGTTGAGTGTCCAGCTTCAGGCTATGAACCTGAAGTACCGAGAGATGATCACCAATGCTTCTCCTGTGGCTGACTGGTCAGCTCTATCGATCTGGCACCATCAGCAATCACGTACACTCAAGACTAAGATCGACATCGCAAAGAAGCAGCGCGCGGCGGCGAAGGGCGTCACAGGCACCGAGTCAGTCCTCTCAACGAAGCGCAAGGTGAACGAAGAAAGCCCTGAAGACCTCCAGGAGTCTTCCAAGCGTTCGCGTCCTGCCGAGCCCTCTACACCCACGCCGAAATCATCGACAACCTCCACAACCACTCCTAAGTTCAATCTTCCCGCAACAGCAACCTCAAACCTGTTCTCAAAGGCCATCAGCAAGGGCTCGACGCCGGAGAAGAGCACTGAGCCCCCCAAGACTGCTGCACCAAGCACTGGCTTCACTCCTTTGTTCAGCGCATCAGCTGGTCCTTCCGCACCTAAGCCAAGCACATCTGGCTTCACTCCCTCTTTCAGCGCCTCTACCGGTTCCTCGGCTCCTAAGGCTTCGTCTGGATTCGTACCCTCTTTCGGCACGTCGAATGATACGACTACCTCCAAGCCCGCCTCTGCTTCAAATGGTTTCACCCCTTCGTTTGGAGCACCGAAGGCCTCCACAGCCTCTACTGGCTTCACTCCATCATTCGGTGCACCAAAGGTCTCTTCGGCAGGTGGCTTCACTCCAAGCTTCGGTGGCAGCTCGAGTGGTGGAAACACTGACTTCATGGCTGCATTCGCTAAAAACGCGAAGACGTATGAACAACTTGCGGCGGAGCGAAAGAAGAAGGCCAAGGACGCAGACTACGACTCGGACGATGAGACTGAAGAGGAGTGGAGCGCCCGGTACGACAAGGAGGAGGCCGAGCGTCTTGCAAAGGAGAAGGAGGCGGTCGCTTCTGCCGGTGGATTTAGCCTTCCAGCTTCTACTAACGCTTCTGGTGCCACCACACCTACTCCGCCTGAGCCAACCAAGGAGCCCGCCCAGAATAAGTCGACTACCTCCACGAACCTCTTTGCCAACCTCGCAAAGCCAGCGAGTGGTGCCTCTACGCCAAGCCTGTTCCGCGCTGCTAGCCCGGCATCCACTACAGGTGGCCGTTCAGTATTTGACGGTCCCAGCGCTGCGCCCAGCCCAGCAGGCAACCTGTTTGGCCACCTTTCCTCCGGTCCATCGTCAAACAACCAGAACGACTCCGATGACGAGGAAGACGAGCATGCGGAGGACAAGTCACAGAACGACCAAGCCGTTGGTTCCACAGGGTCTACTTCACCCAAGCGCAGGTTTGGCGAATCGGAGACCGAGTCAGACGACGCATCCAGCAAGAAGCAGGCAACCAGCGCCAAGGGCAGTCTACTGTCTCGCATGACAAGGGCTGATGATGCCGACAGCGAGGCCGAGAAGGAGAACGATAAGCCTGCCTCCATCTTCGGTCAGACCAACGGGACTTCAACGCCCACAAACAAGCCCTTCGCATTCTTCAACTTCGAAAATGCCGGTGCCAACACCGCACCCTCCAAGGCTAACACCTTTGCTGGTGACCAAACGTTCAAGGTCGGCAGCCCGATCAAGTTCGGTGGTGCGCCAGCTACCGAGAAGAAGGACGCTCCTACTTTCCAGTTCCAGCCTGCAACGCCTTCGCCTGCTGAGTTCTCAACTACACCCGCGAAGCCGCCTCCATCCGGCAGTCTCTTCAGCTTTGGCGGTAACAGCGGTGCTTCGTTACTTGCGCCCAACTTCGGCGCGTCAGCCCCTAGCTCCGTTCCTTCTTCCGTGTTCTCTTCCCGCGCAGGCACACCACTGTCCGAAACCGAGACAAACAAGAACTCGGTAGCTGCTGATGAGGAGGAGGAGGGCGAGAAGCATGAGCAGGTCGATCTTTCGCAGCTGACGGAGGAGGAGACTGCGGCGAACGATATCGTCTTCCACATTGACCTTGCGCTTGCCAAGCAACAAGTTGACCAGGGCGATGGCACCAAGAAGTGGGAGAACTTTGCGCGTGGTCCCCTTTGGATCCTCAAGGACAAAGTCAGCGGCAAGTGCTTCGTCCGCATACGCATCCCCAGTGGAGCGACACCTCTCAACTACCAGATTCTGCCTGCACTTCGCTCGACTGTCGCTGGTGGCAGCAGGAAGATGGTACAGGCAACCCGACCTGGCAAGGACAAGGGCTTGACCCCTGTTTACTTCGCAGTGAAGAGCCCCGAAGTCGCCGAGGAATTCTCCCGCAAGTACAATGAGTCTATGCCGCCTAGCTAGACTTGAGAGTACACTAGATACCTCCAGGGTTGCCTTTTGCTGAGTTGCGATTTTACCATTCTTCTATATGCGTCTTCACGCACCATGTTTTTAAGTACGATCCGCGTTTTGTTACACGACTGACTACCTCCACGATCCCACCAAAATTGGCGCTTGTTCTTGTTTATCATCTTGGGAATCTTCTGTCGTAGCATTGCATTGCGTGGCGTTTTGGGCGAGGGTAACAACAAGTAGGATCTTTCGTGTAGTATAGTATAGTAAGATTCAAAGCATTATCGAACAAGGTTCGCAATCACCACAAAAGTTCAATGCCATGAAGTCCTCCAGACTCGTGCCAAAAACCCGGAATCGCGAATCACTGACGTGGAAAACCAAGCACTCGAAACTTTCAGAATCGTACATCTTCTACATGCCCCATCCTACCACTCGAGGCCACAAGCAGGAGGTCATCAGTGTAGTGAAGCCTCGAGGCAGGTTGGACCCTGCGTCATCCGTAAACCCATGCGCCCGCTAGCGCGCCATACCTTCATCGTAACTTTATACGCCAACGCGACGCGTCACTATGCCTCGGTGATCCCAACACCGATCGCATTCATGGACGAACCCTCGGAGCAACTCCACCTCGAAACCCGCGATGCCGTCGTCAGAGCGCTGGCAACGCGCCGTCCCATCCTACACCACCTAAACGCCGACACGTCCTGGCTGCTCCAGGTCCCGCGGCCCGCAAATGCAGTCAAGCATGGCAGCCGGGTATACTACAACATACTGATCGACCCATGGTTTGTGGGCGGGCAGTCGGATGTCGCGAAGTGGTTCTCGCAACAATGGCATGCTACACCTAGTGCGGTGAAGAGCATCGCTGAGGTCGAAGAGATGGTGCGCCAGGTCGAAATGCTTGCTGGAGGAATGCGCCGGGCAAGCAAGAGAAGAGCTGGCGCGGACGACGAGACGCTCATCGATGCCGTCGCCATCTCGCACGAGTTCACCGATCACTGCCACAAGGAGACGCTACTGGAGGTACACAGAGACGTGCCTGTGTTTGCGACAGAGGTCCGCCTGCTCTACCACTCCACAATACATTCGCAGACTGACATACGCCAGGAAGCATCCAAACTAATATCCTCCTGGTCGCACTTCCGCACCGTAACCACAACCCCCACCTTCGTCGACAACAGCGACTGGCACGACTTCTCTCTCTCACCCCTCCCCTCCTGGCTCAGCATCAGCCGCCTCACCGCCGCCGGCGACTCTCTGTACTACCACTCCGCGCTCCTCATCACCTTCGCCACACACCCCTTCCTCTCGACCACTCCGCGCAAACAGCGCTCCAGCCTCTCTATAAACGGCGACGGGCTGGAAGAGGGCTTCCCATCGAGCAGCAGCGAGGCAGCAGAGGCGGTTATATATACTCCACACGGCATTCCACACGCCGCGCTGAGTCCGATAGCGAAGGCAGATCCAGAGCTGAAGACCCTCGCGTTCCTGCACGGCTTGCACGACGTCAGTATATCCGCGGCGCAGCAGTTGAATCTCGGCGCGAAGAACGGCGTGCTGGCACAAAGAATTCTGCGCGCAAAGTACTGGGTTGCAACACACGACGAAGTCAAGAAGGGCGGAGGGTTCATCAGCTGGTTCTTGAAGAGGAAGGTGTGGACTGTCGAAGATGCGCTGCGAGAGGCGCGGAGCGAGGAGACGGGTGGCTATGGTGGGAGCGGGTGGGGCATTGATGAGTTTGAGGATGTGCATTTCAAGGATATGGGGAACGGGGAGAGTATGATATTGGAGTAGTTGACGTTTCAGCATTGCAGGCAGGTTGTAGAAATTTGTGGATTGGTAAGGGAAGTTGGGAAGGAAGTATATACCCTCTAGTAATCGCAATAACAAACGATCGAGGCAGTATTGCAACGTCGACCTCCTCGCTATATCGCTCTGCGAAAGGGAGCTCAGTAACGCAATGGCGATGCGCTAGCGACCAAACGCGGTCTCGCGTGTGCACGTGAACCATCTGCACCTTCCGATCTTGCTAATGCTGACACCCGTCTCACGAACCCACCAAACACGATGTTTATTTCCAGCGACAGTTGGGTATGACTCAGCAATCGCCCGATCGTAGTCTCTTGAGGCCATGCAGCGCCAAAGGCCCATTAGAAAGTTTGCTGTCTGAGTCACGAAGGAGACCTACATAAAGCTTGATACGTACAAGCTTTCAGCGATAGTAATCAACACAAGACTGCATTTGAGCGGTTCTGAAGAGCTAAGAATGAGCGCAATGGAGAACAGAGTCGTTCCACCGTCTACGATAACGACGGCGCGTCTCCACCTCATCCGCCTCACCGACACATCCCCCAGCTCCCAACACGTCCGATGGTTCCACGAGAACTGGTCCGACCCCATAGCCACAGGCTGGAGGTACCGTCCCCATCTCCCTACCCCGTCATCCTATTCCGTCCAAACGCACCCCGTCCCTCTGCTGCTTGCGCTAAGAGTTCAAAGTCTGCACGGCGCAACGAAAACCCTAGAGGAGAGCAGGGTGTGGATGGAAGAGCATATGGAGAAACATGATAACTGGTTTTACGCCGTCTTTCTGAGGAAATCGGGGTCGAGTGATGGGACTGAGAAGGATGCGAGGCCGGAGGAGCTGGGTGAGCATATTGGTAGTGTGAGTCTGCGGCACCAGGCGGCTGGGCCTACGCTGTTGCCACCAAGGGACTTTGACGGCGCTGCGGAAGTTGGAACGGGCCGACCGCTTACTGAAGCCGAAGTAGAGAAGAGGGAGAAGGATTTGGAAGCTGTGACACTGAATTTGAGGGTCATAGGATATGCGTTATTCGAGAACTTTCACGGGAAGGGGTATGTGACGGAGGCCTGTCGGGCACTGATCGATGGATACGCTGAGGAGATTGGGAAGTGGAAAGCTAGCGAGGATGGCAAGCGAGGGGATGGAAAAGAAGTCGTGTTCTACCTGGAAGGCGGTGTGGATCAAGATAACCTAGGTAGCCAGAAGGTGCTGAGGAAATTGGGGTTCAAGACGGTGGGGATGAAGGTTGAAAAGGAAAAGGCGTGGCTGAATGGCGGGTGGAGGGGGCCGGGGTGGTGGATTACGGGGATGTATCTGTAATCTCGAGAGAAGGAGTCTGCAAAGATAACATGTCTCTACTTGAACGTGGAAGGTGCTTGTCTGAGACATCTACGCAACAACCTCAGTCATCAGATCCTCCGGCCACCGTGGCTGATCCACCCCGTTCCCTCGCGTCCCAACGTTGTACTTCAACTCTACTTTCCCGCCCGGATACTGGATGATTGGCTTTGGGCACAGCACATCTGTACCAATTGCACCGGAATACCGCTTCTCGAAGAAATCGGGCCTCAGGATTATATCGCCTGCGTTCGCTTTCAACATTTGCATGAAGCGCGGCAACGTGTAGCCCATGTTGTGGTAGTGGCGGAACACTTGTTTTCCGTTACGCGACCAGACATCTTCCCACACGCCTTGGGGATAGACGCCGACGCTGTTGACTAGCCATTGGGAGTAGTAGTTGAGCGCGACCTGGTGATGTCAGTGATTTCTGGTCGCACGATGGTGGGGGGGGGGGGATGCTCACATCGACTTTGTACGATCCACCTTCGGCACTACGCCGCAGAATCGCGTTCAGTACTGCTATGACACCCGATGTGCCAGTGCAGAAGTCCGAGTTCGGGAAGACCGGAGTGACCGGCTCATCGTTACCCATCACCCGTCCAAACTCCATGGAGACGCCACAGCACGCATCAGAGATCTGCTGCCATCCACTTCGATACGACCAAGGTCCATTCCAGCCATAGCAATTCTCCCTCACCACAATCAAACCCTGCTCTCGATTCTTGGTCAACTCCAGAAGTCCCTCGGGCGAAAACCCATACTTATCCAGCACACCGGGTCGATAACCCTGCACAACCACATCAGCCTCTCTCACCAGCTTCCTCAGCTTCTCGCGGTCCTCCTCTTTCCGAAAATCCAGATGCGAATTCCATTTTCCCCAGTTTAGGTCGGCATGCAAAGCACTCATATCCGTAACATGCTCAGCAGTAACCCTCATCACGCTGGCCCCCAACTCCGCCAGCCCCCTCGTCACAGCCGGCGCCGCAATGACTCTTGTTAGATCTACGATCTTCAGCCCTGCGAGTGGTCGCTTTGCGCTTGTCTGTGGGCTGTCGGGCCACCAGCACGGCTTCTGCTTCTCATCTCCATCTTTGATAGCGTGGATCTCGTACAACCCAACATGCGCATTCGCTTTTCCGTGTTCGCTGGCTTTGAATTCTTCCTTCGTCCAACAAATAGTGCCAGCCTGCTTGTACACATCACTAGCCAGCCTCTGCATCTCCTTACTCTCAATCTCGCCTACCTTCTCTGCATACGGCACCCAGCTTGCCTCCGGCGTCTGCGCATCCATGTCATGCGGCAGTCCGAGGCAGTCCTGCGTCGGCTCCGGGTTCATGCTGCCGTGCAGGTGGAAATACCGGCCGTCGGCACAGCGGTAAATGTTTGTTGCTGAGGCGCGGTGGAGGGTGCTAGCTTGGGCGTGTAGATCGGTGTTTTTGAAGTACTTGTTGTACGCAGTCTTATTCTGCGAGGCGAAGCTTATGGCTTCGCCAGAGGGGTCGATGGTGTTGAGGAGAATGGACATGAAAAACAGTTGGGCTTGGTCGCTGGGGGATGTTAGTGAGAACTCTGGGGCTGAGAAGGGAGGTGTAGACGAACGTGTTGATCACGGCTTCTTGTGGTTCAAGACCGTACTTTCGCTGGAGCAGTACATTGATCATCGCTGCTTCGAGACCTTTTAGAGCAGAGATGCTTTCTGCGAAGCGCCAGTTGATGGGGATGCTAGGCTTATCAACTCCTTCGAAGCGTACTTTGGCTGCTGCTTCTGCGATGCCTTTTGGAAGCGTGGAGGCGATGAGAGGGTTATTGAGGATGCCGTTCTCGAACACGCTCTTCGTTTCTTGAGGAATTGAGTAGTCTTCCAAGCTCTTTTCCACGTCTTTGGTGCCATTGGTACCACCTAAGTAGCCGTTTACCCCGTTGGTTGCCATGTCGTCTTGTTCTTTCGATGGTCGTTCAAGTTGCCCAGTCGAATGGGTGTCACGAAATCAGGCAACGCCGGCTTTAAGTTCGACAGCTGATCGACTCCGCTATCATCGGATGCACTTAGACACCCGGGCCCCACGTGAACTGCTTCTTCATCCATACTGTGTGGATTTCATCGACGTCGTTGTCTCTTACCACATTCGGCCCTCGGTCGAGTCGTGACGAGCGACTCTGCCATCGGCCAATCATAAGCATTCATCTCCCCGCACTCCAGCATCGATCTCGAACCCCGTGCTCGTACGAAGGCACTAGAGAGTCATGCAATATATCAGTTGAATATGTACCTTGGTTTGGTGCTGCTGAGGTCTAATTCAGTAAAAGCTCAAGGGCTTTCAAAGATCCTTGATTCTTACAATACCCCATTCGAAACATAGCAGCCATTCAGCAAATCGAAATCCAAGAAGTCTCTACCGAATTTCTCCTTCGAACCCGGGCAAAATGTCGACCCCAGACTACAACACGCGATGGACCTCCCAACGTGGCACCCGCCCTGTTCGGATAGCAAACTGCTCAGGCTACAAAGGTCCCTTCTCACATTCCACCTTCACTGCCAGCACTGATACTTCCCAGCTGATCCTGGCTACCACATGCGTTATCAAGCGGAGCTTGGAGACGTAGACTTCATCACAGGTGATTATCTTGCAGAAGTCAACATAGCCGAGAACGCACAGGCTCATGCCGCTGGTACGCATCCTGGATGGGAGCAGACGGCTTGGGATGGTATCGAGCAGACTATTGATCTTTTGGCTGAGAAGAGGATCAAGGTCGTTGTTAATGGCGGAGCGCATGATCCGAGGGGCTTGGCGGAGAAAACACAGGAACTGGTAAGTCGGGTCTTAGAGATCGGAGTCTAGTCACTAATACGAAGATAGGTTACGAGTAAGGGACTGGATCTGAAGGTTGCATTTGTGCTTGGCGATAATTTGACCGAGGAGATGAGCGACGTCCGCGAGAAGGGTTTGCCGCCACATCTCGACTCTGATAACAGAGACGTCGCCGTTGCGGAACACACGCTGGATCTGCTGGAGAAGGATGACAAGCCGATTGTCAGTGCGAATGCGTATCTCGGTGCTCGCGAGATCGTCACGGGTCTTGAGCAGGGTGCGGACATTATCATCGCAGGGCGAGTCGCGGATGCCAGCCCGGTGAGTGATCTGGTGGATGAGTACCATTCATTCTGACAACAATAGGTCATTGGTGCAGCCTGGTACTGGTATGGCTGGGCCGACACAGGCTATGACGAACTTGCCGGGGCGCTCATTGCTGGCCACTTAATCGAGTGCAGTGGCTACGTAACAGGATCGAACTTCGCAGGCTTCTACGAGTATCCCCTAGAGGATCTGTTCGACATTACCTTTGGTATTGCTGAGGTCGAGAAAGACGGGATGTGTGTCATTACGAAGCATGATGCGAAGAAGGGATTCGTGACCGAAGACACTGTGAAGTGTCAGTTTTTGTACGAGCTGCAGGGCAACATATACCTCAACAGCGATGTCAAAGCAATACTTGACAACGTTGAGGTCAAGGCGGAGGGTAAGAACCGAGTCCGTGTCTGGGGCATCAAGGGCGCGCCTCCACCTCCAACGACAAAGTTGGCCGTCTTTTACCGCGCCGGCTATCAAAGCGAAATCGTCGTAAACGCAACCGGCTACGGCACTGCTGAGAAGTTCGACCTGTACGAACGAATGCTCAAGTTCGGCCTCAAGCGCCTCGGCATCCTGGATAAATTCGATGTCTTGGAGTTTCAGCGCATCGGCGTGCCTGAGTCGGACCCCAGAAGCCAGCTGAGGTCGACAACGTATCTGCGCATCTTCGCTGAGGCGAGTGATGCGAACGTGAACCTAGGACTAGCCAGTCTTCTGGGCGAGTTTGCGATGCAACATTACTCCGGCTTCCACAGCACGTCAGATCACCGGACAGCGATCCCAAAGCCGTACATCTCCTACTATCCAGCGATCTACCCCCAGTCTTCTCTCAAGACGTCGATCAACATCCTGCAGCCGAGTGCATCTTCCAGAGGCGTTGAGGTACTCAGCATACCCACCACACCACCGCCGCGGTCCGAAGAACTGAGCAAGCGAGAAAGCTACGAAACTGGCGACCCTGTAGAGCTTTCGTCCTTCGGTCAGACAACACGAGCAAGACTTGGCGATATTGTACTTGCGCGCAGCGGCGACAAAGGCGGCAATGCGAATATTGGCTTCTTCATCCCCACTCAGCTGCCTTCAGCCTATCCTGCTTCCTCAAGCCTTTACACCGAGTCGTGGGACTGGCTACGAGCATATCTTACGATCCCGAAGCTGAAGGAGATGTTTGGTGAAAGCTGGAGCGATAAGTTCTACATCGAGCGAGTCGAGTTTCCGAAGATTATGGCAGTGCACTTTGTGGTGTATGGCGTGCTCGGTAGAGGTGTAAGTGGAAGCAGCAGGCTCGACTCTTTTGCGAAGGGCATGGGCGATTGGCTCAGAGACGTTGAGGTCGATGTGCCGGTCAAGCTTCTGGAAGGGCGGAGGAATGTATCAAGTGCGAGTGAAGTGGATGGCTCCACACTTTAGATATGCTGACATCATTTTCGCGATGCAAGAATGAAGTTGTGGTTGCAAAAGGGATGCTGCAAAAGGGATGCTGCAAAAGGGATGCTGCAAAAGGGATGCATATTCGAAGGACAGGATGCGTGGATGTCGCCAAGCCGGTATGACGTATTCATGTTTGTAACAACATTACTACCGTGGCACAGCTACAACTCCATTCTCCGTCTCTTACGGCGCCCTGTTTGCCTTTCAGGTGACACACACAATCAGTAGGATCAGTGCGAAGCTGTTTGCCTTTCGATCGACGTCCAAGGCCGAACCACCTCCATCCCAGCACCGCTGACCTTTGTTTCGACCCCGGTGACCTCAGTTCTACCACCAAAGGCTTTTCACTCCATCTGAGGGCACACATCTGGATCAAGATAATGTTTAAGAAATTGAAAGAGAAGGTCAAGGGCGATGATCGTAGATCTCAAAGTCACCCTGAGAGTGGACCGCCGCAACAACAACTGCATCCCAATAACCCATACTACTCATCGTCCCAACAACAACAGCTTCACGCTGCACCTACAGAGAAATATCAACCACCACCAGGCCCGCCACCAAACCAATCTTCGTCGAAGCCAGAGTACCAGGCTCCTCCAGGTCCACCTCCCGGACAGTCCTCCGGTTCTGGCTATGCTCCGCCGCCCCGTCCACCACCATCACAGTTCCCTCAACAGCCGCCGCCAAGCTTCGAAGCACCAGTACAACATAACTGGCAGGTGATCCCAGACACTGCACTACTCCCACCGCCACCGTCTATCGGCTATAAGAGCTCCCCGACTGCGAACTCATCAGTGGAAGAAGGCGACCGCGCTTACGCTTGGTGCAACGCAAACCCTCTTTGGCCGCCCTACAACATCGCACCATCCACCCATGCAGCTATACAAAACGCGCAGCTCGCCCTTCTCAGAGCACCGAGCTTCACTGGCGAAATTATGCCACAGCCACAAGCTGGGCATTGGAAGGTCCGAACACACGCCAACTGCCGCGACTCTAGCATTTTGACAAACCTGCCCATGTATTCCGCTCTTGTAGACACGCCCTTGCGCACTCAGCAACCCAAGACGATATATTTCGAGCTCAAAGTGACTGGCATCGGCCGTGGCGGGCACTCTCTCGAGGAAGCCGATGCAGGCATCGCAGTGGGCTTCATCGCACCGCCGTACCCTACCTTCCGGCTTCCTGGCTGGCAGCGTGGCAGTCTTGGCGTGCACGGTGATGATGGCAGGAAGTATGTGAATGACACGTGGGGAGGCGTAGATTTCACCACTGCGTTCGCACCTGGCGATACTGTGGGCATTGGCATGTCATTCACGATTCCAAAGAACCCGCCAAGCTATGAAGCAGAGCAGAAGGGAAAGTTGATGGACATTGAGGTCTTCTTCACAAGAAACGCGAAGAAAGAGGGAGGGTGGGATGGTAATGAGTTGGATGCAAGGAGTGAGGGAGGCACCATGGGGCTGAGGGGTGATTTCGATCTGTTCCCAGCGATCGGAGTCTTTGGCGGTGTGGATTTCGAGGTTCTCTTCCATCCTTCGCAGTGGCTCTACCGGCCGTTCTGATGAGTCACTGATATGAGTACAACCTGGGGGAAGTCAGTACACTCAAATTGGATTGCGGCCTCTGATGCACATGCAATCTTGATACTTCCTGGGGGACGTCAATACACCCAAGGTATGATTGTAGTTGTCATTGTTTTCCTTCTGTATCTAGACCACCCCTCAGCATCATTTCGGATATTGGGTACTCGACTGTCTCCAGATGGACCGCAGGTCAGTTCTTCATGAGAGCGAGACCCAGAGCCACGAGTGGAGAATAATAGAGTAGATTGAAGCGACACACTGAAAATATCTGTCTCAGATAGTACGTTCAAAACACTATCATCCATGCAGTCCGAAAAAAATCCGCAATCCCTGCTCAAGCGCATATCATCCCATCGCCTTCAAGGTGGACAGGTCAAACATTATATCCCTTCTAACCCTCGGCTTTCTCTAGTATGCACTTCGCACCTACAGTCTCGACAGCAGACGATGCAGCTTGCGCCACTAAAAAGGCCTCGATGCGTTACCGGGGAGGTCGTCAAATAGTTTCGATTGACTACATTGATCGTGATTATGACTTACGATGGCTTCGAGGACACTTTGATACATAGTCTGCCCAGTGACGTACCCGTATGGTAGATAAGATATCGCGACGCAGTCCTGGTCCCAAAAGCCTTCCATGAAAACATGCAGGACTTCTCCAGCACGATAGCTCGTGTATAACCTCTCCTGTCAAAAAAGAGGACCGTGATTGTACTCGACCGTCACGTTGGCGGAAGTTTCAGAATCCTCATACGTCGCGCCTAGCAATTCGCCCCGCCCGTTCATCCAGGTCGCAAGAAAGCCCTCGATACTACGTCTGTGATATCGAGCTGACCACTGCTGTATGACGTCACGAAGGAGCAGGAACGTCGCTTGCTCCAGGGCATCAACATCAACTTCCTTCTCTCCCCGCTGCATAGACTGACCTCCAGCGCAAGTCAAAAAATGCGGCACAGTCCACGATAAGGTTGGCGAAGAAGACATATGAGCTCCTGTATATCGAACTTGATTTCCGCCAGTGCAGTGTAAGTTGACAAGTGGAGGTTCAGCTTAATCGTGCAGCCGGGTGCTGATCAGGAGTGCACAAATGATACCAGCCTCAGAAGGTTGCAGACAGCCTATATGACGATCTCAGCAAAGCGTTCAGGGGACCGAAGCTCTCGAGATTGATGACATGGGAAGAGCTTGTCATACTGATCCGGATATCATCTGCGCTGGCAATGGCACAAGCCAGACCTTCGTGTCGTGTATGTTTGCTTATATGGAGCAGACTCATATCGATGCCTTTCACAGTAGGGGCGTCCAAATCGATGCTGATGCCGAAAGGTGAGTGTCCTGCGAAGGCAAAGACTCGATGTCGCAGGAATCTTGGAATGGACATGAGGCTCTGAGGAACGTGAATCTGACTCAACGTTGTAGCCATCTGTCCGCTCTGTGAACTCGGAAGACACTGGATGCTAGAACGCGACCGTAGAAGACGTATCCCTCATCATCCTCGAGCGGGCGCAGAGATACTTGAACAGCTTCAAGCAATCCATGGCGCGAGTACTTCTTGAGCTTCCAGGAGTTTCTAATAGACAGTGTCCGAAGAATGTTGTTCAGCCTGTCAGTATCGATCGCCGAATCTAAAATCTAACCATGATGAGTAGTTCCTGCTGGCAATGCCCTCCCGCATCAACTGGACCTGACCATAGATGCAATTTCAGGCTGAACTCAGAATAGCTTCATTAATGGTAGCATATCGAGGCGTTCTACGCTCAGATGACAATGTTGAGGGCAGATTGCCTCGACATCGATCAAGACTTCCCGTATGAGATGGATTTGGGACCCTAGACCGGAAAGCCATTGTGGCGCATACCCTATAATGATTGCCAAAATGTATGGGTCCCCCTAGACTTTGGACAATGATGTGAGCGCTGAATCTGTAACATGGGTTGACTGCGCAGACAGGCTTGTGCTTTTGTTGCTCGGTCAAAGGAAGCACAAGTGTGTCAGATTTCCAGATCCGCTGGCTTTTATGACGATCCGACGAGGACGGAACATCTAAAATGTCGATGAATCGCAGTTGCTCTACCCATTGTTCAGATGCTTCTCGTTTCGCTTTGTGGTGCTGAATGTCCATCAGCTGGTTCAGAAGAGCCGAAGAAAGGTCGTTGAATATCTCTTCAAAAGTGAGATTGAGATCGTACTTCATCGACTAAGATGGTTCGTGGATGTCTGGAATAGTATTTGCTGCTGATTGTGGAGTGAAGGATTCAATAACGAGGGTGCTGGACGCGTCTCGGGACGGGAAGGAGCGCGTACTGGCGCGTCTCCACGTGCGGAGAAGCTCTGCTCTGCATCTTGTAACTATCAGACATGAGACCAGTACAACGCCTTGCAAGCTCTTCCAAATTGAATTTGATCAATAGCACAATTCTCGAGCAATAGCAATAATCTGACTGGCCTTCTTTGATTTAGCGACATGAAACCATGCACACGTGCTTTGCATTCATGCCTCGGCATGAATTTAGCGCCAAATCCCGCCGTATTCACATGCGCCAACCCCGGATTCGATCTACATCATCATTGTCACAAGCCTCCGAGCTGTCAAGCTGTTCATATACCCCAGATCCTCCAAGCCCTGTTCTTCTCTTTTCCAGACTATCAGTTATACAGTAGTACCTCAATCCCCTCATCATACCAACCTACATTTCCTAGAGTACAACACCGCCAAAATGCCTCTCGCACTCGGTAAGTAGCCCTCTCACCGCAACTATTTCATTCTATCAAGGCTCCGCGCACCCCAAGGTATAGAGTAACAATCATAGCAACAGCCACAGTAGCAGGCAGTACCAGCACCCGCTTAACATCGACAACCATCACAACTCGAATACGTGCCCGACGCCTCGAACCACAAAATACAATATCTAGAGCTGAACCTACGCTAACACCCTCCCAGATGACTTCCCCTCCTCCGCCGCCTTCGACGCGATCCAAGCCTCCCTCTCCGCCTCCCCTGCCGACCGCAAAGCAGCCATCAAATCCGGTAACGGCATCTTCGCCTTCACCCTCAAAAACAACGGCAAAGAGGAGTCCTGGCACATTGACCTCAAGGAGACGGGCACAGTTGGTCGCGGCGTTGCGCCTGAGGGCAAGAAGGCGGCCGTTACGCTGGTGCTGAATGATGCTGAGTTTCAAAAGCTGGTCGCGGGCAAGGCAAATGCGCAGAAGCTGTTTATGAGTGGGAAACTGAAGGTTAAGGGTGATGTGATGAAGGTATGGACCCAAAACCTCACTGTAGAAAGAATAAGCGAGCTAATACCTAAGACAGGCAACCAAGCTGGATCCTATCTTGAAGAAGGCGCAGGCGCAGGCGCCGCAGAGCAAGCTGTAGATACCACCGCCTTGTTGCGGCACGTTCAATGTTCACAGTCAGAAATTCATCATTCACCAACTCTTCATCCGGGTAATAGAAACCCAGTGTATGGATGGTCGAAGACTAGCCAAATTTCCCGTTGCAAGAAAAGCCGACTGCATCACTCCAATGACAAGCTCCTCGAGACCCCTGCTGGAGGCTTCCAACATAACAATTAGCAATTTCCAACAATTGCAGAAATAGCCATAGTCCTGTAACACTGTATCAGGATGCAACTAGTGTCCAAATCTGCCCTGAGTACCTTCCATATTCTGGGAAAACGCGCACTCGCGTCCGGCTTTTGCTGCCACTCGAGTGTATACGTCTTCCGTGCACAGACTCTAAGACAAAGCATTAATATGGTTGTCTGAGACTTGCCAACCCATTATGAAATGCATGCACCCAGACCAGCAGAGATATGCACACCAGGTTGTCTCTTTGAGCGTAGACGCTACCGTCAAAAATAAATGTAACTGCAAGAATCGATAGCACCTTGAACTGCGAAGGCGAGTAACTCAGAACGACAATCTATTCAGTATGTGCGCTAACGCAGGAACTGGGTTATTTGTTTTAGACAAGCACCTGTTCATAAGCGCCTTTTCAGACGCAACTCTCAAAGTGCTAGACAAGTCACTCGCACGCACATACATCGAAGGCAATTTATTAATATGCGCCAAGCATGAACGCATCACACTGTACACACTAGGCACACTACCATCAGGGAAGATGGTCCTCGCGAAGTTGAAGACTCTAACGCGACTAAAACATAGTCTAACATCCGAATCCCTATCTGACCTGAATCATGTTAGTCCCCAGTCTGCAGGAGTTGACACAGGCTCAGGCAGGATCATTTGCCCTGCTATACGAAATGTCAAAGTTGACGGGAAAGTCGAACCACGAGGTGCCACAATCACTGGCTTTATATTGAAGCCCGGCTAAGCCAATGGATGATAAAAGAAACGACGAACTGGCAGTATGACCACCAGTAGATGCCATTTTAGAGAACGAACACACCGTGGAGAACAAGTCAGAAATCTTGGGCAAGAAGAAAGCACGCTGTAAAGACATCCCAAGATGCAAACTACTGCATTTCACAGACCACATTTGTTCACCATCAAAGAGAGTTGCAATTATGTTAGTACTCAACATTACTTAAGTGGTCTGTAAGAGGACAGCTGTGAACTTCCAAGCTCGCACTTGCTGTTCTGGGGACCGGAAGATTCGCAAGACATTTCTGACGCACTTAAGAGCTAGGTGAGGTTGCTAGACGCCATATATTCCATAGGCTTGATTGGGGTAATGTTGAGGTACGGTGTCGTACGTGGAGAGTTATAGGCGTGGAACGGCCTTTCATAATATGTAGCTTCGCTTGCATAAGACCTGGGCACTGCTCGCAGGTCGCAGGTGCGGCCGCTACCAATCCAATGTTCAGTTCAGTTGACACAACCAGGAGGTCTTTAGCGGATTTTCGACAATAAGCTACTACCAATGAAGCAATTTGTAGTCTTTTGTGTGATTGTAGATTAACAACAGAGTACATGTATGTTAAGTGCCTCCCTTATTTATGGAAATAGCAATCTTGGATCTTGCTTTTTTTTTTTTGGCGACGTCAAAGCACGATCAGACAACTGTGTGGTTGAAGAATGATGTGTATTATACCCCCTGCAAGGCGCAACAAAGGAAATATTCATTGAATGATCGTGAGCATGCTAGTCATAGCATCATATCTACAGATTTTCGTCCAAGTTTCGTAAGTATGTTCGTGAAGAAGGCCGTTACGGGCATGAATGCCGAAGCAAAAGAAGAAGAGGCGGAGACATAAGAGAGGTCAGGTCCAGTCGTAGCGTCAAGTCCAAAGACAAAGCCAAAATCAAAACAAAGGAAAGATAAGAGAAAGTCCAAAGGAAAGAAAAAGAAACCGAGCCGAAGCGCACACCGTTACTTCGTACTGGCTGGTGGAGTCAGAGGAAGCTGGTACTTGCGCCTTACATCTTGGCTCGTCAAAAGATACGCAACCGTCACCGCCTATTGACCCCCGTTTTGATCCTACGGTAGGCTGATGAGAGAACTCCAATTCCAAACCCTGGGTATCACCATGATTATCTTGACTTGACCGGACCACAGTACCTCTTGTACTCCACCAACGCCGCAGCTAGTGCGTACATGAAATTATAGCAACAACACCGCCAATAAGCCTCATCTCCATCTCCTTCATTATGGGAGTGGTGGGATGAAGGAGGACACTGGGTGTCTATTTCCATGATGAGATGCGCAGGAAGCGCTTCATGTGGTCTGCATCGAAGAAACTGTCCTTTTTGTTAGGTGTGCCAATAGCAGGACTCTTTTTCAGCTTCTGATTCGGCTTGCTGAGCCAGCGCGAGAGTGTGTGGCCTCCTCGGTCTTTGCTCGCATCTTCGATGGCTTGGTCGACTTCCTCCAGGAGAGGGCCCATGATGCGTGGCTCAGCATCAATGGGGGAGAGCATGATGGGAACGTCCATAACTTCTTCCTGGGTCTTCTTCCAGCGGTCGCTGCCAGTAATGACGGTAAGAGGCTGGAGAGCGTCGTCCCAGCTGCCCTCGCGGAGCTTGACGTCTTCGAAGTTGAATTCTATAAGTGTGCGGCGGTGCGTTTCAATGAAGTTCGAGATCTGGGTCGAGTCCATGACGGCGTTCTCCAGCTCCATGCAGCGGAGGCGGGTGAATCGGAGAGGCTTTGGGCCTTTAACCTCGCCGCGCATGGTTGGGTGTGTCATCTCGTCCTCGACAGGCTGCATGCAGGGTTCCTTATCCAATGAAAGGGGAGATGGGCCGCGCTCGCCCTTCCATCGGAAGTGTAGTCGCGTGACACCACGTGACAACGTTCGTAGGTAGGCATGAAGGATGCGCAAGTGTTCGATTGATTGCGCGCGCATCTTGTCGGATGAGGTAGCGAACGGAATGGACTCCATACAGATGGAAAGCCTTCGGATTTGGGTCCAGCGCTTGGCCGATGATGGGGTGCTTCCGAAGCCGTGCATTGGATGAAGGTAGAGGAGGCCGCCAGCGTGGATGGGATGCATCGAAAGGGCAGTCAGGCTGTACAACGGCGCACGCTCAACTGCAATCCGGATGGAGATGAGCGCGTAGTCGACCACGGTCCGTCGGTGACGAATCTGGTTGTTCGAGCCGGGGCACGAGATCTTCAGGTGGGTGAGATTGATGAGTTCGGAGAAGGCGGTAACAAAGGAGGGAACGTTTGTCGCTGCGTGGAAAAGAGGAGGGTACTGCTTGACAAGAAGGTCTTGCATCTCCCAGCTCCCATACTTTGGCGTCTTGTCTTTCGCGGGACCGTTCTGGGGGTTCTGTACCTGGGGCTCGTATACGAACTGCAGCTCGGCTCCAGACTCTGGGTCAATGACTGGCGGCAGGAAGGTCTCGGGAGTGTGCGGCATATGGAAAGTGAGCGTCTTAATGTGGCGTCCTATCCTGGAAAGCGCTTCAATGCGCGCGGGCTTTGTGAATGTTGATGATTTGAAGGTGGTAGTGACTGAATCGAAAAGGAAAGGCGCAGCGCGTGTCGACATATCATGGCAAACGAGGCGGAAGTTGGCAAGGTCCTCTGGCTCCATCTGCTCCAGCATATTGTCGCGACATTTGTCGTTTAGCCAAAATCGGAGAAAGACCGAGCTGGTCGACAGTACAAGATTGCATACTGAACCGTACGATCGCACCGCTGCGTTCTGTTAATGATTTTGCCACACGAGGCTGGGCTCCGGGCGTCTTACATCGTCCATCTACTGTGGTCGCGGGCGATAACGGTATCTCACCAAAAAGCAATCTCGAGCTGGCGTTCGAAGCAGTTGTCGCACGGCTGGCATAACTGCTTTGGCTATCCCCCGAGTAGGACCGCTTCAGCGGAGGCGGCACCTGGCGCTGAGAATACATTGGACGGTGGTGTATTGGGTGGCATTCAAGATTCTGTGGAAAGCTGCGTCAGAGTGTCGGTCTGGTGGGTAGTTGCAAGTAGAGCGTCGTCATAAGAGGTTCGCAAAGAGTTGGGGAAGCTCGAGCCGTCACTGAATCGTCAATATTCAGGAGTGCATGAAAAGTCGGTGAATGTGGTCAACCTCCAGGGCATCGTGGAAACCTCAGGAACCCGGGCACCCTCGAGAAGCTAGTATTTACCGCATCCTCGACATGCGGGGCCGCGCTACACGTGAGATGCAGGTATGAGTCAAACATGTTGTGATGATGGCAGTGAATCCCGTCCCAAAAATCCGACTCTTCTGTTTGCGGCCACTTTATTGAGCGAAAAACACGACCATATCGCGGTGGGAGAGCGTGTTCATATGGTGTTCGACGCGACGATTCGGCCGCTGAGTCGAGTGGGGTTGCTGCCTGGAGCCGGCTTGAAACGTTTCATGGGTTGCAACGAATGAGAAGGCGCGCTGCGCGGGACAGAGCATGCAGCTCTTGCAGTAGACCTGCAGTAGTTTCCTGGGTGTTGTGGCTGGACGCACACGACTGGCGGTCAGCGCTCGAGGTCGCGTGTAGCAGTGGCAAGGCGCGTTAACTCCCGCCTGCGCTACTGTACACATTGCCATGGAGAGTCGCGATTCGAGGACCAAAACAAAAACATTCTGCGCCTGCCTGCAGTTCCTGCGCTGGTGTGCGTGTTTGCGTCTGTTTGAAATGCAGCAGTCGTGAACGTGCGCGAAACCAAGGTATCGATAAGTTGCCGGAAGGCGCGTCCCGCAGCTCAGCTTGACAGTGTCCCACACCGTCCGCCACAGCATCATATATGGCCGACTGCCCTCGCCGTGAAACAGTGACACGTTGAAACACTTTCGCTCAAACTTTGGTCTTCCACCGTGCTTCAACAAATTGTGTCTTGGTAAGATTAGCGAGGCCTTGTTGGGACTACTCTTCACTCAAGATATACCACAATCAGCCTAGTCTACACACATTCAAATTTGACCAAAAATCAAGGAAGCACCACCTAGCAACGAAGGAGACATCGAAGACAACGAGAGGACAACAAACTCTGTTCAAAGACAACACAACAACAAACCTCCCTCCTTCCAGAACAAGACCCCAACCTACTCTCCTGACTCGCCCCCCATCGCTAGCCTCTCTCCAGGATCCTTTTTAGGCGAGCAGCATCGTGCATGTCTTGGCCAGACGCACGACTTGCATCGTCCACGGCTTCTGCCATCTTTTCGCCCGACAGTGCTGCGAAAAATGCCGCACTTGCATGAACCGTCTTGTTTACCGGTCTTTCCGCCGTCAAGTCTCGTAGGCTCTTTGTACTGTTTGTTTGCTTACATTCATGTGCACGCGATCAATATGTCATGAAAAGCAGGCTCGTAGAAAGTAGGTCTGAGACGTGTGAAGGCCTTCGAGTGTGCTGTCAAACCTCATCTCATCCTTCGCGGCCGTTTCCGCAGATCCAGTTCGCCATGCTACGCAGGTACCATTGCCAAGTCGGGCCATATCCAGGCCATGTCTGTGGGTCAGAATTCATTGGATGGAGACGGTGAATTGATGTGCTGTCAAAGCAATGGTACCATGTCCGGGTACAACTCGGCCGGTGATATTGACCTAGAAGCTTCGATCGCGATTTCATGATTGGGCTCTGGAGGTCATCGGTCATGAAACATGGAAATGTTTGTTTCGTTTCAAGTGCTCGATTTGGCCTCAGTAAGGCTATTGAGGTATTAAGTGATTGGCTAGAAACATAGTTCTGCCGTCGTGCTGCGGCCCGGCGTGCTCCACGTCCACTTCCGTCATGCCCAACGGCCGCCCAGTCCCATCGTGAACAGGGGAGCTGTTCCACTACTGCTCACGTTGTGTCACCAGATGGTATCCTCTTCAGTCCACAGTCGTGTGACTCTTTCATCGCCTTTTCTCGTCCGAGAACCTCGGTGCTCCCTCCGGCACTGGTGGAGGCTGGTATGTTCCTCTGTATCCGTTGATCGGAGGCAGCTCCTGTCCGACTGCTTCCTCATAAGTCGGTGGCGGCGCCTCGAATGAATCGCTCTGTGGTCTCGTCGTTGCGTTAGGATATGTGCTTGGGCTTCCGAAGCTAGTGTGAGTTGTCATTGTTGGCGTGTGCGGGTTATGTGCTGGCGGAGGTACACCGAGGCTTGCAGTCTTGCCTGCTTCTCCCGTTAACGCAGCTTCCAGCAATGCCTTGGGAGGAGCAATGCCAGAGTAGACCTTGACCGGCAATCTCAACGGCAAGACTACCAGCTGATCTTCGCCTTGCTTGTAGGAGCCGTAACCGATGCCCACGCGCACCTCTAGCTCGTAGAACCGTGAAAGATTGCACGTTTGGAAAGTGGGTGGAACAGTGTTTGGAATGGGTTTTCCTGACCAGTACTCAGGGTTTACAGGCACCTCTGCATCCACAGGATCTGTAGGCGAACCAAGTGGAATGGCCATGTTGCTGAACGAGCAGAGGATCCAGCTGTTCGACTCCGTTCGAGCTACTTCGTGCGCCCGCACCTTGGTGTAGCCGATCAACTCGATCTGGAGCATCTGAAGATATACGTTCTTTGTGCGTGCGCTCATGCTTTTCACGAGTAGCCTCAACGGAAGGTCCTTGTTGGCTGTAAGGATTGCCGGGTTCGGTAGTCGAGCATCAAGTGCTATGCGTGGTGGTGGACCCGAGGATGTCGGTGATGATGGCACACTTGTCGTTGAGCTCTTCCTGTCGAAGAGACCTAGCTTCTTCCCTGCTGCTACACTAGGCGCATTCTCCAGAAATTGGTGTTGTCTCCTTGCGTACGCCTCGCCATCTTGCCTTTCCGTTCGTGGTGGCTCGATCGGTAACAGTGTGAAGTTTGCGACCGCCCTTGGGTTCTCTTTGAACAGTGATGGCCTGTTCACCGTCACCTTCACGAAGTATCGGATCTCGGCTTCGCCGGGAAAGCCGGTAAGGGACGGTGGTAATGTGGTTTTGATATGCTGTGTTGGGGCTTTTGCGAACTCGGGTATGGCGTTTGCGAAAGAAATGTTCGAGATGGGTGCGGTCGCCTGCTGCGCATGGCAGGAGGTATTCAAGGGGATCTGTTTACGTTAGCATATGCGCAGCGCTTCAGTACATGCTACTTACTTTGAACTGGAAAGGGTACTCGAAGTTGCCAGCGTTCATAGTAAAGCCAGTCTTGTTGTTGGTGAGGAGATCCTCTTGCCTCATATTGGCTGGCCAGACCACCTCCGTCTTGTACAGAACCTTGTGTACCTCGAGGACTGGTCGTTGCTTGTCCGGTCTACTAGGATGGATTGGTGCCAGTAACCTCGTCTTCGACTCGCCCTCAAGCTTTACAACGATGCTGCTGACACTGGTAGGATTAGGCACCCGTAAAAACACTCTTCCTTGGATGACATCAAGATTCGTGTAGTGCTCGTGCGGGTGATCGAGCGCAATTGAGACCAACATCGTGAGGTTACTATCGTATTTGTGTAACTATGGAGTTGCTCCGGCTTCCTCGTGGTGTTTCAAGTGAACGGATAGTCGCAAGTTTGGTGTGGATTGGGCAGCATGTCACTTTATGTCAAAAGAGGAGAGGTGTCGTGCTTTCTGCAGGGTTCTTTGGCGACTGGATGTGGTTCACAGAAAGCGCGGCACAGCCCAAGAAACGCGTGTCGTTGATGTTTGCGCATTGCTGCAGGTCGAATGTCACAAGTGTCAAATGTCGGAGCGCGGCGGAGGGGCGGCTTGGCTACGTCATAGGGTCAAACGCGCCTTCCGTCCTTCACAGACTCCAGGAGGTATTCAATGACTCCACTGACAGTGGTTGCCAACGTCTGTTGCAGCAACTGTACGAGTCGATATTCAACTTCGACCCCTATCGTCTTACTTTGTGCTGTTTACACTTCATGCATGGTGCAGGACAGCCATAGCCACAGCCGCACCGCCAGGCTGATGCGAGGCTTATCTTACACATGCTTCCTGTCATTGGCCATGACGGCCTAACCTTAGCGATGCCTGACGCGTCTTTGTGCATAGTATACTACAAACTGAGGTTGTCGTTTCTTGCGAGACCTCTCGCGCAAAGCTACAAAGCTACAGCTTCTCTTTGGCGAGCATATCTGAATGATTCAGTCAGTACAATGATCCGCAAAATAGCGCAATGTCCGCTGGCCCCTACTTACCACAGATATCGAGATACAATGCAATAGCGTTGAAGCTGGCTTATTGTTAGCGATGCGCGTGCATGAGAAGGTGGTCCAGAGCCATACTTCCTCTTGCTGCCAGTCAGCTCCCAGAACCACCACTTTATGCGGTTGGTCCAGTTAATCAGGTCAAGGTGACTGACACCGATCAGTGTTCCTTTGTAGTCTCCCCACTGACTCGAGGAGACGCTAGCGAAATTGGTCAGCCTAGTCGTATTCTCACATACATAGGAACGTACCTGACAAGACCGTCGTTGATTCCCTCTTCCCGCTTGACAATGACGTGCGATGGAGCGAACACAGACCACCGTGTAGGCTCCAGGGATGCGCCATATGAGAAGTACCTAACGTCCCCAATATCTGGTGTTCTTGGGTTGAAGCTCTCGCGCATGTACTTCAGCGTAAGCTGAGAAAATGCGCCAGTCTCGAACCCAAAGTACTCTATGACATTGTATATCCTCTTAATCCGTCGAGGACCAATCGTCTCGAACATGTAGTCCGCAAATGAGGAGCCTCGGTGCGGTGTTGCGATCGTAGTGAGGGACTTGATCTTGAAATCGGTCGGCTTGAGTTGGCTGATCATGTAGCGCGAGTCGAGACCTCCCATGCTGTGTGCTATGATGTTCACTTCCTTCCCCATAGCCTTCGCTGCGATACTCTCCGCCAGCTTCGCTGCTCTAGCTTCGACGCTGCCGCTCGGTGGGACGGTAGCTACGATGACCTCGATGCCCTTTGCTGATAGCGCCTCTGTAATACCACGCCAGTATTTGAGACCAGGAAGGAATTGTCCGGCTAGTCGAAGTTCGCTGAAGCCAAGTAGACCGTGAGCAAGGACGATCGTGTGTTTCTGCGCGCGTGTCAGAGCATTGGTTGTATTCGAGGTGGTGTACAGACTGGTGTAGCTAGGCGATGTTAGTGTACGTCAAAACAACAATGCCAGTGACCAACCATATTCTTCACGGATCACTGCGAATTCATCAGTGATCTCTCTGCCCATGGATTCAATCCGCGGGTCTTCTTTGCGCCATAATGTACTGCTGAACTGGTGTCGAGTCAGCCACTGTGTAGATACACATAGTGTAGGTGTAGGTAACGCGTGAGAGCGAATATTCGCTCGAGCACATATTCGTATCATTGGGACCGGCGCATTGTGATGTTGATGTTGAAGCTCAGAGCCCCAAACTTTGGGGCGCGGACTTAGCTCGGTGACGTAGCGAACGCGACATGGAGCAGGGGTCTTTCACACATGCAAGCAATCGATTTGGCGTAAATCTCAAATGAGCCAGATGTAACCTCAGCCGTGCATTGCACAGAAAAGACGTTTACTTCTAGTCAGAACAAAACTATGCTCGGGACGTTAACTTCCTGGAAAGCGCAGTCCATTCATTGTCTTGTGTTGATCTTCAGGTGTAGATGTAGATGTAGGGAGTGATGCAAGGCATAGACACAAAATTATGACACTGCGAAAAGGCGGGCTACTCATTGACTCGTTTGATGAGAAGAAAGCTCGCTTGAAACTGGGACGTCTATTGCTTGGTCTTCGAAACCACCGTTTTCAGCAAGAAGATCGATGGACATGTACAGGACATTTCGCCTTACTCCAGGCATACCGCCTAGACCATCCGCGACGTAACGTCATTGCAGTTAGCGCAGGTGAGGTGCTCGTTTGGCGTACGTGATGGTGTTGCTTAATCCTTGCGCGGTGGCTTGGGGTCGGCGTTCGTGACGGCGTTGATCAGTTGCTCGACGACCTTGCTGCCTGACTTACTGCCCAGGTCCTCGACCTCCTTAACCTTGGCGTCTGTGTCCTTCCTTGCATCATCCTCAGCCTTCTTGTTGCCGGAGCTGTGCTGCGCGGTCGTTAGTCTATCATGCCCGTCTTGCTATGTGTATCGTAGGGCTTTTGCGCACCTCCTTCTCGAACTTCTGGTACTCTGTCTCCTTCTCCTTCTTGTACTCCTCGATCTCCTTCTGCGCCTCGCTTCGTGCGTCCTTTACTCGCTTTGTGCGGTCTTCGAAGGTTAGATGAGGCTTAACGTTGGCGATGGTGGGGTCATTTACATTCTCTGGCTGTAGTCTGCATTAGCTTCTGTCTTTCGCATAGTTCCAGAGACAGGTCCTACCTTGCTGAACAATCTTCTGTGCCTCGCGCTCGGCCTGGATGCTACGTGAGCTGTATACGGTTGAAGTGGGTTGCGGTGCTTACGTCAAGCAGCGTCTGAATTCCCGCGGAATTTTGGGCGGACTATCGAAGGCGTAAGCATCATCTGTGTTTGTTGGAATCTCCAGATCTCACCATCTTGAGGTATTGGGAGGTATGCGGTGAAGGTTCGATATTGCGGTGGTCGTTGCGGAGAGACCTATGATGCAGCAGCGGCCTCGAACTTGGTGGCAGGTCCACCTCGTGGCCGCTGGCCCAAGCTCCATTCTGATCTGATCTCGAATTGTCCGCAACTTTCCGCAACGAACTCTTTGCTTCACACCGCTGTCAACACCAAAATGTCCCGAGCATCTCAGATCACATTAGCGACTACTTGCGCGACTGCTATTGGCGTCGTTGCATTCGTTCACTTTGCGCAGAAGCAGGACAAGGCTGTCAGTACAGTATCAGGCCATGCAGCAAAACATCTTTTAACAATCACTTGTAGGCTATGCACGCCGGTGTTATCCGCGACTACGAGCAACAACGAATCAAACGTGAACGACAGGCCGATTTCGAGATGCAGAAGGCTCTTCAAGAAGAGTACCTGAAGTATCAGACCGTCCACGACAGCAGCACACCTGAACCACCACAAGGGACACCTGGAAAATAGCATTGAACATCGCTACAAACGCACGATAATGCGCAACTCACCGCTGACGGCTTGAGGTATTCTCTGCGAGACTGCTCAGCTGTCCTGCCTCTCGCCACACGCCAATCCGACTGCGCCGTGCGGTCATTCGGTGATGCCGTACAACGACGTCAGATGCCCGATTCTTCCCATACGGAGCTATGTGCTGGTATAGTCTGGTACAGCACACGAACCATGACCGAATGTGATGCGCACGTGAGGAGAACACTTCCTGACACCGTCTGGGAGACTACGATTGCGACTGCCCATGAACTACCGGTCTACGGCTGACACGCCAAGCAAGAAGAAAAGGAGGGGACTAGGATTGTTTGAACACAATGCGAAGTCGGGCATTGAAACAAGAGTAGCCATTTTCGTAAAATGTATCACACCGTCGTTACGGTACCATCTTCATTACAAAGTTGTTTTTGGCTGTCAGAGGATGAAGACTTGCATTTACAAGAGGCTTCATCCTTCCCCGCTGGTCTTTGAAGCTTCAGAAGAACAGGGATGTGTGAAGGGCGGGTTACGGGCGAAGAGGTGGATCACAAGGTCAGCGGCATCGTGGACAACTCTATACAGCATTGAAAATGACAGGCCGTGACGAGAGGGCATGCTAAAGGTCTGCAAGTTCCGTACTAGATGCCCACCATGGACTTCAGCGTTGTCTCTTCTACTTCGTCAAAGCCAATGGCAGCAAGCACACTGTGTGCGAACGTTACTGCCTGCTAAGTAGACGGAGATGTTCACAGCATGATCATCCACGAAGATTGTCTCACGCCACACGCCGTTGTTATGCCTGAGTGCTGCGCCTTGCGACCACTTGCCGAGTTTGACCATGGTTGTTGGATGCCTAAGTACCTCCACACCGGGGAATAAGCGGGTAATTTCAACACGATATCATCTCACGATCTGATATTATATCCGCAGGTGGTACTCTGGGATATACTGTTGAACTGCATCTCAACCTTGGTGGACGTTTAACGAAACTCTACCTGATAGAGAACATTGCTCATATCACTGCGCCCTTCGGTCGCGGAGACGTTGCGGCAGTGCAACCCCGCTTCTCAATCGCTTGATCATGATTGCTCTCGATACTTTATGAATGTGACAGTGAACCATGGGCTCGTTCCCATCGAACATGAACATTTGATCGATCTCCTCGGGCATCGGAATAGTTAACGACCTTCTTTGACGGGCTCATGAGCCGTGTTGGCCATTAGTGGGCCTTAGTTGCGAAGCTTGGCGCTTCCCGCTGGCTTGGCACCACTCACAGATCGGCAACGATGAAGTCATTCAGTGCTGTTTTCCCAGCTTTCTGATGTGTTTAACTTACACGTCAACGCACATTTCCACCACCCTTCCGAGGAACAACAGTGAGAATGTTTGCAGACAATGAGTCCATTTCCAAAAGTTAATGCCTTGATGGGCCGCAATCCGACTCTAATTGCGCCAAGCAGTAGGCAGATTGACTGGCTTTCAGCTACTTCACACAGCCACATGTGGCTTCTACATAGCTTCTAGTGTAAGGCTGTGTGTAACGCTGGTTGGTCCTGCCTTAGCTCAGGGTCTTATTTCCTCAGGCCCTCATGACGCAGGGCTGTGTTCGTCGCCCCTGCCCAATAGTGAGCTCACACATCATCCTACGTATAAGTCCTACGCTTGCCCTTGTCAGCCTTTGTTTCCCTACAATCAAGCACATAAACACGCTATCCCACCATCTTATCTTAGCTATAATCAGCTTGCTTTGAAACACTTGACACGCCTTTGACTGTTTCAGCGCTTCTTGGATACAAGTGTCGCGCACATCCGAACAGTATCTGCGCATCGACTCCACATTATCACCACGACCTTACCTTACCATGAAGGTCTCACAGATCCTCGCGTACTGCGCGCTCGCCACATCAGCAGCCAACGCTGCTTTCATACCTGAAATCAACGCCATCAACCTCATTGAAGATCGCGCCGATGCTCAACCACGATCATCAGAGGTCGTCGCACCAGACCACAGCCTAGAGAGGAGAAAGGGCGGCGGTGGTCGCGGCGGTGGTAGCAGCTCTGGAGGCAGCTCTAGCTCTGGCTCCAGCGGTCGCACGTCTTCCAGTTCCTCCGTAGGAGGCTCGACGCGCGCTGGCTCTGGAACACCTCGCGCATACGGTGGAGGATACTATGGCGGTGGCGCGGCCGTGCCTTACTCCGCTGGTTCAAGGACACCGAAGGGACTGGTTGCTGCTCCCCTTCTTTTGGGTGTCGGCCTTTTGGCCATTATGCCCGGGCTTTGGCTGTACTCAGTCTATCCTTATCACTTCAGTAATCCTGCATGTGTACCCCGAACTGATATTTGAGACTTTGCTAATAATCTGCAGTACCGATTCTACAATCAGAGCGAAACGAACCAGAACAATCCCAACGGCACAAACACTACGCTCCCAGTCACCTGCTTGTGCCAAGAGTACAGCCCTTGTGGTTGTGACGAGAATGACAATCAGCAGTACCTGAACGACCTTGTTGGCAACGGAAGCTACGCTGCGCTGAACAAGTCTCTCGTCACCGTCTCTGACGTCAATGGCACACGAAACCTGGTCATCAACGGCACCCTGTCCAACGGCACAACTGCCCCAGGCGGTACCGATGATGAGAGCGCTGCTATCAACCTCAGGATCGGCAAGTACGCTGGTTACTGGGTCATGGCAACCATCGTTCTCACCGGCATCATGATGTAAAGCTCATTCGCACGTTTATACAATACATTCACGATTTTATGTATTACTACGACCACTTCGGAAAGACACATGATAACTGGCGTTCCAGATCGAAAGTTCAGAGTTGGAAGGACACGTTTTTTTGTAGTTTGGATACCCATTGTTCACCACGGCATTTTTGTTGCCGTTTCTGCATCCATAGATTAGAAGAATCAACTTCCTAGTACATTAGTGTCAGCTCTCCTCTACAATCCTGCTATCGTCGAATATTGCATATTCAGCCAAATGATGCAACGACCCATACGGTGCCTAGCGAATGCGGCTTCACTCTTGCGTCCCGCAGCGACACCGTTTTGAGCCATTACAAAGCAAGGATCAAGATCTCGCTTCACCTTGAAGGCCCAGTCTAGGCCACAAGCTTTTACTGTCTTCTGGGTAGAGCCTGGGGTGGCCTATGTCCTTGACCAGTGTCTACTCAGTTGAACAGTCACAATTACCATCTGAACTCCGATGAAGATACTACATACCTTCTACTCAGCTTGTGGTTACATGCCTTTCTTCTTTGCATTACCGTCTTGCAACGTGCGATGAGCAGATCCTTGCCCATCGAGCACAACTTCGCGATGCTACTCTCGAGGATGCTGACGACATAACCACTATCCTTCATCACTGCTTTCTCCATTCTCCTATCCTGGCAGTATTTATATTAGTTCCGCCAAGATCTTCTAGAAAAACACAGGAAATGTGTGCGAAGCGGTATCGCACTATACTTGTCAAATACGTCTACCCACATCGAAGTGATTGAGGCACCCACAGGTAGCGACATCGCTGCTGCCATGTAGACATAAAAGTCCCCGCAGGGCCAACTATACTTGCGTCTCATATCCAGTAAGGACAAACTAAGCTTGGGTCTAGAATCAAAACATACCTTTTACAAGACGGGTGCACGCACAAAGAATGAACATCACGCGAGCATTGGACTAGGATCACAGGTTCACTGCAGAAAAACGAAAATACACTGACGATGTATTCGGCATAGATCAACTGTGTCCTGAGCACCTCGCCACACATCTACTTTACCAATTGCGAGGAGCTGGTACGCAGCTTATCAATTCGGGCCTTGAGCGCGGAAGAAAGGCGAATGTCACTGTTACACTGATTGCTCAGCCTACGGCAAAAACTTTCTATCTGCATCGAGGTTTCATGGGGTTTGCGAATATCAACATCATGTCTATTGACAACGATTGAATTTTCCGCTCCATTGTTATGGCATATAAATTTGATGGGAAAAATGTGACGGTTTATGGAGTGAAGAGGTCATGTAAACTGTCGCAGTACAGTAAGAGGTGTGTCACAGTACAGTAAGAGGTCATGTTACAGTACTGTATGAGGTTGAGTAAAAGGACCGACTGGACCAGACTCCTTCAAACAGTAACAGTAACATAACAGCTTCACAGTCAATTCTTCTTTCCGTTCATTCACAGTATATAAACACACAGCTTGAGTTCAATACAACTTCATTGAACCTCAATTCCATTGCCCGATACCTATTGTATTCAGAACCGTTATATAAACAGACCGTGATGACTGCCGGGTAAGGGACAATCACAGAACAACACAACAGAATATACCAATTTTACTGCTTTGTGCGGTTACCCCTGACTTACTGCCCTGCGCGGTTACACCTTCACTTGTTGCATTTACTGCAACAAAAAATCCCGATTCAGTTTAACCCTGTGCGTTCTCCTAATGCCGTTCGACCAAGCGTGAACTACATGGACGGAGACATTTTCATACTGTCTCAAAGCTTTCATAGATGCTATAGACGAGAATTAGCCAGCACTGGGCCGTCCAGTGTGAGTGCCGTGCTTTGACTTCTCTGTAAGCAGCGCATCAATGACGCATTGCTTGAATGCAAGAGATGTAGTCTTGAAGCTCAAGCTGTACCGAAAGCTCAGTTTGATCCAAGATATCACCGAAATTGATCATACCTATCGATAATACCTACCGCAAGTCAGTGAGCCAGAGCAGAGTTGCCAGGACGGACGCAGCAGTACCTATAGATCCCACCACTGCCTGAAGATAGCTCGTGGATAGCGTATCATCCTTTCGCCGCAGCTTGATTACAAGGGAATATATGTGTCAGTCGATGTTGATGAGGTTACATCGTCCTATCGAGCGGTGCGGCGCATGGTTGCGCTAAAAAACGCCAATATGCGGCATCTTGCTAGTGATCCAGTCGATAATCCAGAAGTACTTGACGGCATTCAGATCGGTACCTATAAGTGGTGAAACTCTTTGTACCTGACTCCGGATGGCTCTCAAGGTCTGCAGTCTGGTATACCAAAGGAACGGTCCCGGAACTAGTCACACAGGGCCTACTAAGCGGCCATCGTTGCCAACCCCGAGGCAACCTTTGATAAGTTACGTTCCTTTTGGTGCAGCACTCATATATTCTGTCTTCTCTTCGAATGTGGCGGATTCACGGTACGCATTCATGGGCCAGTATCAATCGACTACCGTGTCCGTGCGCGTAATGCGCGGATTCGAGTAATGCGCCGAACCACCAAAATAGGTCCACCAAAAATGAGGCTGTAGAGCCACACACAATGGTTATTATCATGAGATTTTCTGGTGGAGTAGTCTATAGACCTATATGAACAAGTTCCTCACTCAAACTTTTGTGGCACTCTGATTGGGCGGCCGCGGCTGTTGTATTTTGCCGGAGGGGATGGGGAGCGAGGCGCGGCAGCAGCACGACTACGGGCAGCTGCACTACCACGATTCTGCTTCTTCCTGGGTGCTGCAACCTCTGAGGCCTTGCGCTTGCCTCTTTGGGACAATTGTATAGGTTTTTTGGTGTTGCGCTCCCTCTGTTGACGCTCTTTTTTGGCCTTGCGTTTGGCAACCTCCTGAGCCTTCTCAGCCTTCCGCTGCTCACGCTCTTCCTTCTCCCTCAACTTCTGCTCACGCCTCTCCTGTGCAATCTTCTCCTTGTACAGCTTATTGGCGTGCCTCAGTTTAGCCATCTCTGCTTTTTTGAGCACCTCTGCCTTCTGCTCTTGTTGTTTTGCCTTCTCACGTGCGCGTGCTTTCTCTACTCTACTAGGAGAGTAAAACTCGGCTCCACCGTGGTAGTCCTTGTGACGCTGAAGCTCAAGAGGCTTGCTCTTCTTCTTGTGCTTCTTCTGAGTCTTGAGAACCTCCTTAAGGCCTGTAATCTCGTGGTGGAGGACTGAGTTTTGAACTGAGATGTGGTGGAGTGAGCGCCTGATCTTTTTCAGGTCTTCACTGCCTTCGTCCTTGGCGACTTTGCGCAACAGAGTCTCTGATTTGAGCCAATCCTTGCCGCTGTAGACTGAAGAAGAGCTTCTGTTGCTATCGGAGCCCTCAGGGGTGGGCTTAGCAAAT